GATACTAGTCAACTAGTAAACTAGCGTCAGCTGGGAAAATCATAAGAATAGCAAGTGATCAGAGCGAGGGGAGAGGGCAGCAGCAAGTAGCAACAGCAGCAGCAGCAGCAGCAGCAGGAATGGCCACACCAGGTTTCTGAGTGGTACTTTGGCTCCAGGCGATGCAAACATTGGGCCTAGACACTGGGCTGAGTACCCGCCCTTCCCGCCTGAGGACTCGAAGGGAGAGACTGACTGACTGACTGACTGACTGACCATCATGGGGATGATGGATGCAATTGAGAATAAATAAAACCCAGAAGATAGAGGAATTTAGAATCTATATTAGATATTAGGACAGTAATCGACTGTATCTCTATAGATGTGGAGATATGAAAAGAATTCAAGTGTAACTTGACTCGCCCCCATGGTATGTCAGTATAAGCTGGGTAGCTCCTCGAAGTCGAGTCGAGTCCCTTTGCAATCGGTGCCTGGGAAAAAAGAGAAAGAAAGAAGGTGTGAAGAAAAGGGAAATTCCCACTCTCACTCTGACTGACTCTTGACTGATGTTGCTCTTCTGCTCTCTCCGCCCCTCCAAAAGCCATCCACACCAACTTTCCAGCAACGCAGCCAAAGCAGCTGAAAAGAGGCGCTGACTGGCTCTGCTGCTTGCCTGAATTCGGCCAGAGGAATTCCATCCATTCCCTTTCCATCATCTCTTGCTCTTCCTTCCTTTCTCTCTCGCTCTCTTCTCCTCTTTCCTTCCCCCCCCCTCAAAATCCAGTCTAAAGCTTTTGCTGCTGGTGCTGCCAACAGACCCCCAACGCCGTTTTGTTGATCCATCATCCCATTCTCGTTTTCCCTTCCTCTCTTCCTCTTCCCTTTTCTGCTTTGGATTTATTTCCTTCTTCCCTATTTTTTTCTTTTTCCTTTTTCCTTCCTTAGTCCTGCTTTTTTTTTCCCACTTCCGCGCCCTTCCCCTCCCTCCGTCTTCATTTCTTCCAATCTTCTTTCTTCTTCATCTGTGCACCTCCCCCTCCTTCTTGCTTGATACCCGTTTTGGTTGTAGACCTGATTGTGATTCATCCTTTTTCCCTCCCATTCCGATTCCACCCCGTCCGTGGCCAGTCACCCTCCTCCACAAACAACCATCTTCCTACCATCTGCGCGCCCACTCCCTGTCGGGAACGGCGACTGCAGCTTTCGACTGTCACCTTTCGTCTCTCCAATCCCGTCCGTCTTCTCTCATCCTCCGCTTCTTCCTTCCTCCCTCCCCCTCCTCGCCCATTCGTTCGCCATTCCCTCCCCTCCGGCCCTCCACAACCTTCTCTCCCCTCGACTTTGTTCAAGGGGCTAGAGACTTGACCTCCCCTTGTCATGCACAAGATTTCCAATTTTACGGGCCAGGCCCGTCATGGCTGGGAGCGAATGACGCCCACCTTTGGCATGTCTCGACCGCATACCGACATGACTTCTCACTCTCTCCGTCGACCGCATGGCGCGCCGCCCATGACTCCTCCGACCGGCATCGACCCGACCGTCAATCTCTCGTTCAACGTGCCCTTCTCCTCGACTCTTGCCGGTCCCGACGTCGACGATGTCCTGCATGCGAGCCCTGGCGCCCTTCAACGTTGGACCTTCCCCGAGGGCACTCCCGAAGGCACCCCCGTCCACCAGCTTCCGGTTCACGCGAGCAATGTCGACGCCCTGCGGAGATTGTGTCGACAAATCACCGAAAGCAGTAACGGGAGGGTCGAGGCGGCTGTGACCTCCTCGGAGCCCAAGACTGTTCCTTCGCTACAACGGCGCCCCCAGGGTTTGGCGACCAATGTCTGCATCACGGGTGATGGAGAGACGGTGCGGAAGATGCGAGCGAGGGTGTTGAACGAGACCCCGATTTTGTTGGTATGTTGAAATATTTTCATGTTATGGTGCTTGGATCCCGTTATATCCGCTAACGGGTCATGTTATAGCGATGTGCGACCGTGGATGTGGATATGCACCTGATCCTGGACGGAACCACCAAGAATATCCGAGCGAGCGTCTTGGAGCATCTGGATACGCTGGCGGCGTATACGGGCACGGATATCTTCCTCCTGAGCCCCAAAATCCGTGACACGGATAGTGCGGTGGTGTCTTCTTATGGCTACGCTTCAGATAATGGGCTGGATCAACGCTTCCGGGTGTCCATCTACGGCGATATGGAGAGCGCTGAGCATGCCAAGACCAGGGTCTTGATTATGATCGATCAGATTGTGGGTTCTTTCTTCCGACCGATCAACGTCCTGGAAACTAACTGCTACTAGCTTAAACGTCACGTGGATGCCGTGAAGCTGGAGCTGACCATGCACACCTTGGTCTGCGGCCGTACTCGCAAGAACATCAAGCTGATTGAGGCGGCCACTGGCACGGCCATTTACTTCCCGCCGCCATTTCCCCGCATTTTCGGCTACACGCCGCCGGGTGCTCACCGTCGCAGCGAGAACGAGGTCTACATTACCGGTGATACGCAGGAGCAGATTGCACGTGCGAAGCAAAAGCTTCAGGAACTGGTGATGGGCGTGAAGATCTATGTCAAGGATGTCATTGTCAACTCGAACAAGATCGACAACATTCTGCTCGACCGTCTGGACAAGGTCCGGAAGGTGATGGAGATGAACGGCTCCTACGTCCTCTTCCCTCAGCTGGGTACGCAGCGCGGTCTGGTTCGCATCCAGGGCACCGAAGTGTTGCACGTCGAGCGCACCGTGCGGGAGATCATGGCTTTGGTAGGGTTACTCTACGCGTAGACTGCTTTGTGTCTGGACTAACGTTTGCAGGCTGGTCAATTTTACAGCGCATCGTGGTGGATCATTATGCCCGACCCGTCGCAAGGGGGTTTCCGGGCGCCGTCTCCCGCAGACGTCCGCACCATGCTATCCGACATTTGCAGCAACTCGGGCGCTGAAGTCAGCTTTGACAACCTGACCTTCACCATCAACGGCTCGGATGACGCGGTCAAGGCAGCAATGATGGTGATCAACCAGATCCCTTTTGTGCAGCGCAGCCAGTACCAGATGCGCGTGAAGATCGAACTCGCCAACGAGCACAAGGAATTCGTCAGCGGCAAGAAGAACGGAAAGATCAACAAGATCATGGGCCAGAGTGAGTTTGCCGTATTCGCCACATGATCCCATATTAACGTATACAGGCAACGTGCAAATCATCTTCGATGGTTTCAACGAGTACAACTTCTACATTGACGTGTGTGGAAACCAGTACGAGTCCACCAAGAATGGCTTGGATCTTGTTGAACAGGAAATGCCGGCGTCGATCTCATTCCACGTGCCAGACCAGTACCACAAGCGCATCATCGGCATTGGCGGCCAGCACATCCAGCGCATCATGAAGAAATACTCGGTGTTTGTCAAGTTCTCCAACGCCATGGACCGTGGTGGCATGGGCAAGGAGGAGGATGACATCAAGGTTGACAATGTCATTTGCCGGACCCCTGCCCGTAACGCCCAGAGTCTGGACCTGGTCAAGCAGGAGATTATGGACATGGTCGAGAAAGTCGTAAGTCCGGCCATTCCCGTTTTGAGTGTCGTTGCTAATTGGACAGGATGCCGAGTATGTCTCCGAACGTGTCGTCATCAACCGGTTGTATCACCGTGAACTACTTGCGCGCATGTCCGAAATCGATGAGCTCGAGAAGAAGTGGAACTGCAAGATCGAGTTCCCTAGTACCGAACTTGCCAGTGACGTCGTGACTATTTCCGGACCCGAGTACCAGGTCCCACAGGCCGTTGACGCCTTACTGGTAAGTAGACCGCCGAGTATGGATATCATCAGTTCTAACCTTAGCAGGGAATGGTTCCGGAGAGCCACGAGCTACTCTTCCAGAGCTCCGCCGAGCTGCGCGAGTACTTCAAATCGACCGAGTTCCACGACGACGTGTGTGCCAAGCTCAAGGACCAATACGAGGTCGATACCACCGTTGATACTAGTTCGGACCCTCCGGCCTCGGCTTCGGAGAGTGGCTCTTCTTCGCCCGTCTTCGGGCCGGAAGACCGGGTTGTGCTCGGATATACTCGCAACAATGCCGGCGGACTCAAGGATGCCATTGACTTCCTGATCTCCCGATTGGTCGCTCACGGCCTTGACGCAACTACGGTCAAGGGAGCTATTCCCCGTCCCAAGTCGGACTCTTTTGAAGAGTCTCTCCCCTTCTTCGACTCCAAGTTGCTGCAGCATGCGCCTGCTCCCATCGTCACCGACTCCCCCACTCGACCCAGTTTCTCGGATGAGACCAGCGAGCGCGGGTCCATCTTTGAGAGACTGCGGAAGCCTGGCAGCATCTCTTCCTTTTCTTCGTTCATTGGCCGCAAGAATCACTCGGCCTCCCCCGGATCGTTCTTTAAGCATGCCTCCAGTAACGCCTCGAAGGCGTCACTGGTCTCCATGGAGTCTCGAGACAGTGGCTACCGCAACCCATGGAATGATTCTGGCGTGAACCTTGCCGAGGACGACGTGCCTGTCCTCGGAAGTTCTCACAGCCACAGCAGCAGCAATGGCTGGCCCGCGCGCTTTGACACCAAATTTCCATTCGGTACCGCGCCAGGGGACATGACTCCCAAGCATGACCCGCGCGCTTCTTTTGACAGTGGTCGTCCTAGTACTTCCAATTCTACTTCTGGATACCCGGCCCCAATCGGGCCACCGCGTTAAAATCAATGTCAATTTGCAGCAGTATACCCCAAGAGACTTCTGGTTTTTCTTTTCTTCTTTTAGTTTCTGTTTTTCGTTTTGATTTGTTGTCAGCGATTCGTGTTTCGGATTTATTTTGATACCACAGAGTGCAAGCCAAATAAGACGTCAGGAAGTGAAAGAAAAGATGCAAAAAAAGCACTAGAGGGAAGAAGAATACGAGAGAGGCATTAGCATTGCATAATCCTTTCCTTCCCTGTCATATTCTCCCCTCTACACCTGGATTTTATTCTTGCGAGATGTTCGTCATTGATCTCTTTATTGTGCTTGGTCGTTTTCAGCCGGGGTGTGTAGGTGCCAAATGTGTGTGCCCTTGGGAAGGTTTTATATGAGATACCAAACCGTGGAAGATGGGAAATTTTGCGTTCATACATTCCAGATATGATACCAAGTGAAACGATGGTGTACGAAGGTGTTTTTCTTGCTACAGATGTCGGTTTTGAAGTGATCATTGCAATCGCATATTTGCCTTTTGCCTGGGATGGATTCTTCCCAAACCAACTCATTTAGTCCTTTGCCCTGTTTTGTTTTGGTTGTTTTTGCCTTTATCATATACCTCTATGCGTACGATATCCAAGATCTATAGCGCGTAGTCATGAATGGGGTTGAATGTCTCGTTGCAACTTGTCCTGCCTTCGATGAACATGACGTAGATACGAATTATTATTGTCAGTACAATTGGAACCTGCGTGCATTGGATTCAATATAGTGGTGGCAGATACCAGCCAAGACCTACATACTATTCCAACCACGTCTACAGATTGAATAAGGAGCCCTACGCATCCTCGCTCTATTGAATGCCCCAACCTACTTCTATATCGTATAATCATTTTCCAACATCCTTTTCACTCAAATACATTCAACCAAATCTTCTTCCTTCACCATTCCCATTCCATTAGTTAAAGCCACTCACTCACTCACCATCATTACCTGAGATGACATCCTCCTTTACTATAAAATCTTCCTCCCTGCCGGCCTCCATCTTCTCAATATTTCTCTTCTATTGATATCTCTCTATCTCAACATCTATTCCTTTCTACGATGAAGAACATTTCCATCGAATATACAACGGAACCATTCAATACTTAGTACATTAGTACACAGTCAAGTCTACATGTTAAAATGACACTACCAACCCAAGAGAAATATCAAGTATACTACCAATCAGGCATCTTCTGGATCCTAGTCTGAGGGTTACATTGAGCTAGCTCACCATTAATAAACACACATACAGAGCGAGAATGAGCCGTTGTCACACGTCCGTTCGAACGTACAACAGCCTAGCATGATGAAGATAAATTCTGATTTCTCAGGACCATGGTGCTGAAACTGCAGCATTTTCTGGAAATGGCCTCTAGACGGATAGCTTTACGTCTGAAGTTCGTACGGAGGTTATCATGCGAGATGGAGGAAAAAGAGGGGGAGGGGGTGCTGGCTAGCGTTCGATTCGTTTCAGGCTATTGATATAGACTCTTCCATCTTTCACTTTATTATCCGTCGCACATATATCTACTTCCACAAGCTTGGATATACGCATACGCATATCTACTCGAGGATGGCAGGAAGAGACAAGAAAGAGAGCCGACTATACTCTTTAATATTGTGTTCCGACAAAAAAATACCTTAATCGAAATGCGCAGGGACTAGATATGGACCATTGCTCTCCCCCAGACGTAGCTGGGTGGGCTGAGTACGTGTCTAAAGGATTGGACAGTACACGGATGGTCTCTTTAATGGAGTAAATTTACAATCGTATACCATATTAAAAAGGAGGCAAAAGGGCGTGGGTTGGAACGGACCGACTGTATCTTTGACAAGTCTCGTCCGGGATCTTTTCCTAGATAATGGATCAACTTTGAAGATGAGATCAATTCCTCTGGAATTATATATCTACACCGAATTATCTCTATCAGAGGGGATAGCATACGTCCTCCTACCATTCCAGCTTCTACATGAGCACATGGTTCTGAAAGCGGGAATACCATCTTCATGGAATCAAATGGAGAGCTGGAGTATATAGTCGGGGCAGGAAATGAACCCTTGAGATGAGTAATGGGTCGGCACAAACCGCTACTCCCGCTGTCCAGCAGCACAAAATATAATCGCCTTCAAGTCAGCCGGTAGCGGGGTATGATTGTTGGTAACTGGTTACAATACCGGTGGAGTGGAGTGGGCTTGAATCTTCAAATGTGCTGCTCATGTGCCATTTTCATGGAGCGTTCTCAAGGAGTCAATTCGGAACTACAGGGACTTGGACGAGCTGGCTCGAGGTACAGAAGGCCTGGATTCAATCAGGGAGGAGGACTTGCTCCCGAGTCTGACCAGTAGACTCTCTGTTGTTCCGGTGATCTGCGTGTCTAGTTCTCAAATGTGCGACTGAGTGCACATTACACCATACTTCAATGCCATCGAAGACAGTCGTTACCTATAAACATGTCTTCCAACATGAGTGATGCGAAATACTGGAGGGATAAATAATCATCATTAGCTCGGCTGCTTTCTTAAAGCTAGTGATGGATACGGTCTGCCCGGTGTGCGTCTGCAGAATTATAACGATGATATACTCAGAAGAAGTGGCCAAAGCATGTTCGTATTGTGGAGTTACTGTAACTAGGGATGAGAAGAACTGCTCTTTCTCTGGGAAGATGTCTCGCAATGCAGTACATGCAGTATTGCCTCCTCCTTAGTGACGAAGTTCCTACCGTTCTGCAGTCTGTTGTCATTTTATACAACCATACAGTTCTATTGAGACCTAGATGTCTTATGGGACCGAGGCAAGTGCCTTTTCGTCGTGCGCTCGAAATGCACGTCCGAAAGCCTTAATGGTAACGACAGGATTCGGAATAGTAAGTCGCTCTAGTCAATGCGCAGCGCTGCTTTATTTGTTGTTGAGGAGTACATCCCCATGAAGGACGCGTGGTTCATCATGGAAACAGCTATTTCTAATTCGAACCCGGATGGATGCCAATTTTCTCACCACTTTAGCAGTTAAGAAGCGGCTCGATTTCCGGCAGCATAGCCACAGATCTTCGGCCTCATCACAGGGGTCGTACAAGTCAGTATGTTCAGTTTGAGAAGAACTTAAAGTTTAATTTTGAATAGATCTACGACAAGATCAAGTGCCTCCTTCAGGGCCGCACGAATTATTCTTTTTGGCATAAAGATGCCAATTTAGCGATACATGAAAGATAGGGGTGTGTGGCGGAATTTTGGCAGCGAGTGGACGTACAAATACCTAGACATGGGATCCATTGTCTGTCTTTTGTTCGTTTCCTTTGTGCTCGAAAACTTCACGATGCCACGTCGAAACACGAGAGTCAAGCAGGAAATCCCTGCTGACATCCGCTGCCTGTTCTGTACTATACATTGTCTCCGCCATATCAACAAAATATACAAGCCGGAGGAAGGCGTCGACTATGACATCCGTTGTTCTATGGATGGGCGTTTTTCGGTACTGTGTCGCTTTGATCATGAGGACAAAAAGACCTGTGATCCCGTACGTTTCGCTCAGTTCTTAAAATCAGTTGGACTGAGATAATAAAGACAGCTTGAAGGGCAAGGATGTTTTCACTACGGAAGGACTTGTTGGGACACGAATGTCGGGGTGCTTATCCAAATTTAATTTGAATTCTCCAGCTTCGAACGAGATTGTTTTTGGCACGAACCCGGAGCTTTTCGCATAGTTCTCGATGTATGGTGTTTATGAAGTCCAGCCCGGAGGGAACGAAGAAGAGATGGAAGCTATGATCTAGGATGAACAGGGGACTATGCTATAGGGCGGTGGGTGGTAGGTGGTTGTCAGTGATACGATGATAACCTTGAATTAGGGAAAATATGCCCTTAATGGCATTAGACTATTATATAGCGAATTCTCTATCGATGGTGAATGTGAAACTTGGATGTAGTCAACTCTACTTTCATAGCCTACTGTAGGGATCATTTCCGATAGAAGACCGACTGTCCACTATTTCTACGCCGTCTTGTCGATCAGCTGCATTAGATCTCGTTATATTTGTCAATCGTTCCCTTATGAAACTCTGTGACTGAAATTCACTTGCATATCAACTGATTCGACTAATCCCTTAATCAAGTACTAGAGTAACATGTTATCTTTGCTTATATCCACCACTATTTTCCAGTGATATCACTGAGTTTCCTCACGACTCCTACGCTCCTCTTCCTCCATCTCTTTTGTATTTGCGCTCCTCTTCGGCACGTCTTTCCTGCCACTAAACCATTCTCTTTTAGCAAACGCAGATGAGGTTCGCAGACTTTTGTAGTACCCCACCTTGGCGTGTTTGTTCGACTTCTCTATTACAAACAACACAGTTCGATTGCGGGGGAGGTTCCAAGGCACGTCTTCTCCTCGGTCCAGATCCGCCAGAGCTTCCAAATAGCATGTCCTTGCCAAAATTTCAGTGAGCGGATCCGGACCATCCCCGGGATGATGCCAATTGCTGCAAGCTCCTCATCCGTACAGTCCACCTGGAGTTCTTCGTTGTCTAACCAATTTTGTTGGACTCGTAGGCGAGTGACATTTTCAGGGCTCACATCCAGCAGAGTCTCGATGGGAGATCCTGTCTACCCTCGACTGCTGGTTAATCCGGATAAAAACCTAGTCGCAGTTATCGGTCAAGATGCCATAGATAGGCCCGTACGGCATCTTTGTGTCAGAATGAATAATCAGTCCTGCCCTGTAGCATGCACTTTATCTTGTCGTAGATCCATTCAAACTTTAAATTCTTCTCTAACTGAATATGTACCCATTTATACGACCCCTACGATGTTGCCGAAGATTTGTGGCTAGACTGTCTAACTCCAGCCGCTTCCTAGCTGCTAAAGTGGTGAGAAAGATGGCATCCAGCCGGATTCGAATTAGGGCTTCGTTTTCGTCGGATCTGCCAACGGCGAGACTGTAGTCGGACAGAATTTGTCCTTGTCGTTCATTGTTTTGTTAGCTATTGCTACCGTTTGGATCGACATAGGTCACCAACCACATCCGGAAGGCTTCCTGGTCCATCTCTTCCCTGAATCAAACGTCTTCAGGGCGTACTTCCAGACTTGTTAGTACTATTTGTACTTCGTCTCCGGTCGAAAGACACGGGATAGCACCGGAGAACCAAAGTAATGAAACTTGCTGGAAGTAGAAGCATCCATTTTCATACATATAGTATGTGAGTCGACCAACATGCCTTACCGGGATGAGTACCAGAGGGGTTCTCATTAGGGTTTCGTTATCGTCCAAGTATCACGCCTTTCGGCTATTCAGCGTAGAATATAGTCGACGGCTATATAACCTATGTGTCTATCCATGCTGGATCTGTGCGGATAGTTACTTTCGCTTTCGATTGGAGGGCGCAGTGTACCTATTCGCCTGTACGGCGGGCATTAGTGGCAATCATCAGACAAATGCAATTTAGTGGTTACCGGCAGAATAGAGCTCTACGTACCCCAGCTGATGACTATAGGATCATCGTCCAGTAATCTGGATGATTCCCAAATACGTATTCGCCCCAGTAAGATAGTAGTTTTACTGGCTCCTATAGCGGGGAGATCATCCTCTGCCAACAAAAGTATAGCTGTAAGGAGTTTGGCTAGTTGTAAGAACACCCCATGCTGAGTCTCGGATAGAGCAAACGATGCTTGTTATTGAGCAAGACATCAATCCGATGGATAGCGTTATCTCTTCAGCAGATGCGTTTTGGCGTGGTTTGACCACTTCTCGGCCCTTTTTCCATGGTCGGACCTTTTGTAATGCCCATGATTTATTCCCTTGCATCTTTTATAGAAAGGACCCGGTTCCACACCATTATCGCTCTCACTCCAAGTAAGATGGTTATATGTAAGATGGTGAGAGCTATGGCTTGTTCGATCTGTCTGTTTGGATTCAGAGCCAGATTGAAGGGGGAAGAGGCTCTCAGTATGTTCTGAGTAGAAATATCTCTAAGATTGTACTTCGATGATAGGTAGGGTTTCAGGAGCACTCCACTTCCTTGGGGCTTTTTTTTCTTTCGGTACTCAGTGTCCGGTGTCCGAATACCACCAAGGGCTTTTGTGCGTCTATCGTGGGTTTTAGTTGCTAGGATCTCTTTTGTCGGTGCTCATATCTTCTTTATTCTGATATTACGAATATGGTTTATGGTAGTATTGGTGGAATACCCCTTTAGATAGGATAATGATTCTGATAATATAGAAGATATAGTATGAAAGCCAGGACTGATGCTGTTGAAGAAGGGATAATAGAGAAGGAAGGAGGTCTGGTCTACGGGGCGAGATGGAGTTTATATAGTCAGGTCCAGAACTACCTAGGTGAATCAGGAGATTCAATAAGATGGAGTAGGTGAAGTGGTATCTTGCTTGGGAAATGGTGTAGATTGAAGGAGCAGGTGAGTATTCAATGGGTGCAGTGATAGAGATAGTAGTTTAATTAGACTTGGAGTGATTGCTAGTAGGGCATTGCAGGAGATTATACGGATATTGCATCACACCTGATAATCTATTATCTTATCCCATCAGCTACAAAAAAAAAAAAAAAAAAAAAAAAAAAAAAAAAAAAAAAAAAAAAAAAAAAAAAAAAAAACCTCTAATTTGAATGCATTGAACTCTATCATACTGTCACGAGTTGATCTGTCATTATTATATGGTCCAACTTTAGGTTATCGCCATAACCATGATCCTTCCTATCCGCACAGAAATATATATGCAACTACCACTTCGCTCGGCTTCCAATATCCTGCTGCCAGCTGGACATCAACATCGACTCCACGGCCCCTAGCCTCACCGAACAACATGAAATTTCTACTCTCCCCACTGTAATCCATTTAATTCTATCTCCGTGTTCTGAAGCCATAATCCGACGGACGTGCCCGGAGTTAACGCCTATACCCGAAATGGGTGGGTCTTCACCACCAACTTGGCTGCTCAAGTAGTATGTAGTTTCGGGAGATCAAGTCATGTTAGACCCTTGATTGCCGATGTAGGTGAAAAATTGGGAGATAGACATCTTTTCGTAGTATGCATACCTGTCCTATATTAGAAAAGATCTGACCCACCTGATCAAGGTCCCGCGGGACCCTAACCATGTGGCGTGCATGGTACTGAGTATATTAGAGTGAGGCTTTCCGTGGACCTGAAGTGAGGTTGTGATGGGTTTCATCATTGTGCTGTTTTATTCAACTCATCCCTGAGCCTGTGTATATTTCGTCGATATTCTTGCGTTCAACATACGCCATCTCCAAGCCACTGGTATATCCTACAATGCAGTCATTCACACTCCCCCTCCCGAACAATGCTACGGTGGCCGGCATACACTCGATTCCAGACCCGAACACATCTCTTCGCCGTCGTCCACTGATTGTTGCCTTGCACGGTGGAACTTACGACTGCCATTATTTTGATGGCACGCCAGACTGTTCCGCCTCCAGAGCAAGTATTGCTTTCGGCGTCCCGTTCGTGTCTATTGACCGACCTTGCGTTGGTGGAACCAGCTCATTTCTACCCGTCCCGGAGGGATCGAACTTCAATCAAGAAACTGGGCGCTGGTTGCATAGCTATATCCTCCCAGCCTTATGGTCCAAGTTCGGCGGCGGTTGCAACTGCATTGTCCTCCTGTGCCATAGTCTTGGTGTCATGGGAGGCACCGTCGCTGCGGCGATGCATGCACAGGATGAGAAGCCGCGATATCCACTCGGAGGGCTAATCGCAAGCGGAATGGGTGACAAGTTGGCGCCATCGGCAAATAGCTCTCCTCCACCCGTGTATGAGAAGGTCAGCTCGGATTACGTTTCGATGCCTGCGGATGTCAAGGATAGAATAATGTTCAAGCCAGGGACCTGTAGTTCAGAAGTTCTGGCTCACAGTGACCGCCTGAATGCAGCAATGCCCCTTGTGGAGTTACAACAGTTTCCAACTATTTGGCTTCCTACATGGCGAGAAGATTGGGCGAAGCATGTCGTAGCACCCGTTATGTTCGCACTCGTGGAGGACGATGTCTTTTTCGAGGCATCCGAGGAGGAAACCAGAAGCTGCACGGCAGCATTCGCAAACAGCGTCCGGGTTGATGGCAGTCTGGTCAAAGGCGCACCTCATTGCATGGAACTGAGCTATTGGTCGCAGGGGTGGTACGCGCGTTGTTTCGGATTTGCGTTGGAATGCTCTGCCAGTTTATCCGCTGTTTGTGAAGTTACACAAGAAGCCTAGAAAATAAGCAGAAGCAGAACGATCCATATCGCACTGGAGTTCAAGCACAGCCACAATCCCCAGTAATCGCTAGGAATCGCTGGTAATCGCTGGTAATCGCTGTTTGGACAGTAAATGTGCAGCCGGCAGGAAAAATTGTACTCTGCGTGAGCGCATTGCCCTGACTCAGGCATTCACAAATCCCGCAAAAGCCGCAATAAAAGACAGGTGAATTTGACATGAGTCGGATGATCGGACACAGCGGCAAGAGCCGTCCATGCAAGGGACACTTCCACTCTGTTCTTGTTGGTGCTTGTCAACGTAACGTAAGAGAAATTATACCTCCATTCAGAAGCGGCTGCCTCGCTACCTTGCAATTAACAAGGCACTTGATCGGGCCAAGACAAACATTTAGAGTCAGGTGGTTGACTGGGGCGTGGGATGCCGGTAAGATGAGACCCGAAAGCACCGTGTACGTCGCTGAAATGCCCAATAGGGTTACCTTGCATTAGGCGAGGGGTCCCTGGTCAATGTAGGTTGCTTTGCAGTGCCCGACACCGGTTTTAGTGCAAGATAAGTGCGCAGTAGTAGACGCAGCATTGGCATATTTACCTGCATCGATGGTCCCACTATGCACCCGCGGTTCTCGGAAGGCATAAGAACATCCGTCGAGCGAGCCAGAAGGCTAGAAGGGATTCAATCAATATGCAGGCTGACCACCATGAGTGTCATGCCCGGTATCGTCAGACAGGATAGGCCAGGGTGCCTTCAGCAACTGCTTCATGCTACCTACCTACTCGATGCCTCAGTACTGAAATCCAGCGCAGGGGTCAACTCATGATACGCCATGAACTACTCCTTCGAGCCTTCGTGTTTTAAGTTGGATCCGCTAAAGTAGGCTAACAGCTGCGTCATTTGGCCTGCATCTGGAATCCGTTGACCGCTTGACAGAAGGGGCACCGTCTGACCACCATTCTACGCATTCTCGTCAAGGAAGCCTCGCAACGGTACACCGGGTCGACGAACCGGACGCGGCCCTGAATGCTGACCTGGGTGCCTTGGCGCACCACGGTGGCCAACCGTGGCTCCTAGCTTGCCTCACCAACGCTAAATGATGAAGGATCACGGCAATCGATCAACATGAGCGCCACCAACGGACCCTGCAGTAGCTAGAGGTAATCCAAACGAGCAGAGATTGCAGGATCAATAGCAAAAGGGGCAGCTTTTGATTTGGATCAGCAAAACTATCTCGCAAGGCTCCGGATATGATGCAGTGATGTAGTGCCGAGACAAGGGTAATAGTAGGAGGACTGTGGTATAGGAGAACGTTGCTGCCATCAAGAAGACTTCAAGCAAGCACGGGCTTGATGCTCGAATGTCATTGGCTCCCCTGAACACAGAGAAGCGTCCCGAGTAGGAATGTCCGGGGCCGAGTGACAAAACACCTTGACTCGGCGGTGTCTACTAGTATCGTTGCCTGGGAGCGACACACGAGCTGGCATCGGATATGTCCGCCTGGAAGCACAGCAGATGAAAGGAGGTGATCTGACCAGCAGTCAGCCATAGCATTCCGTCAGTGTCCGAGAAGCGAAAAATTGACCCACGTTACTCGTGGTTGACATCCAGCCACGTACCAGAGATCATTCCCGCAAGGGATAGATACGGCATATTCAGCGACCATGTGGGATACCATCAGACACCTCCGTCCGTCACTGATACGCCTGGACCATATGGAGCCACTGTTCGGTATACAGTGGGAGTAGAAAGATTGGTGACGAGAATGGGTACCAGAATAGGCGTTGATTAGAGTTTCAAAGAGATGTGGTTGTCATCAAGCAGCAGGACGGTGTCCCGCAACGTGATCGCTAGACGCACTCCCACTGGCTGATGGTTGTGTCTAAGCGCCAAGATCCCCCTCGGTTTTAAGCAACTAAACTTAGGAGATCGACTAGTAGACTAGGTATCGACATGCATCCTCCATGTCTCTGCCGCACCAACATCCAGCATGGGTACGTAGGTCGTATCTAGATCAGCCATGACAGATGACTGACCATTCGTCTGTCAGAGTTACGTAGTGAGGCTGTGTGTCGACTGGAGCATTCATTTCCCCCTTGATGTGCCATTTCGAAAAGGCGTGGAACAAGATTTGCGACACTATGGAATTTTGACTCGAGACATCTGTCAGTATCAAGGTTATGCAAGGGAGAAGCTGACAAGTCAACGAACTCAGTAGTGAGTAGTGAGTACGTAGTATGGGGAGAAAGCGGCCAAATGGGACGTGCGTGGTAGTTGGTGGTCGTGTGAGATTCTCAACCGTCAATGATAGGAACCCCTCCTTCTCCATGTCAGCCAAAAAAAGTGTCTTCCCCCCCACACCTCATGATCGTGTAGCAATTAGCAAAGCGGTTACTCCGCAGGACTACCCGTGTGTAGCGTAGAGACATGATTGACTTGATTGACTTGTTGGCTTTGAAATGCAATGCTCACCTGGCCTCCTTCCCTTCTGGGTAGCCAGCCAGCGTGGAGAGAAAAGACCTGCTTATGCCCGCTTATGCTGGTCGCTGCCACTCCAGCAGCCGAATGCAGCCCGGCTGTGATCTGATTGGCGCGGGTGGAGAAGAGGGTCTTTGATTCTAGAAGGCGGTATCAGACGATCCGGCGGGATTCGAGGGGATTCTGCCACCACGTGCGCCGTTGATTGGCCGGCGGCACAAGTTCGCGTCCGGAGGATCCCCGCCGACTTAATCATCGCACTAAAACTAAAGTAATCTATTCTACTTTAGTTCCGCCGCCACTCGACCCGATGTGGGCTGCATTAAAAAAGTGCTGTATCCATTGGAGTCGTTAACTAAGGTCAATTAGGCAAGAAACCACGAGATCCATCTCCAACTACCTGCAAGTAAGGGGAGAATGATTGCCCAGCTTGTGGTCGTATGTTCAGACCCTGAAAAAAAAAGAAGCTCACCTCTTGCGTTCTGCAGTGCAACCATCTCCCCGGTGTGCTGTTGTGTTGTGCTGTCGTGATATGAACTGAACCCCGGCACACACACAGAGTCAAAAGATAAAAAAGAAAAAAAAAATTATGCTTTTCGAGGCTCGTGGGAAGTCTCACCCGCTTCTAGGGTTGCTTGGCTCTGCACCAGAAGGTGGTTCTGGGCAAGATGGGGCAGACTTGCCCTGCCATTCACCACTGACACGGCAGCCTCGACTTCGGAGTCCCAGTGGAACCCGCCACACTACGTTGGATCTTCTCCGCTACCCAGTCCTGCTTTTGGCTTATCACGTTCCACCATTCGGACATGTGCCTGGAGCACGCTGGTGGGCTGGTTCTGGTCCACGCCTGCCCAGAGATTTTCCTTTTGCCGTCACCCTCCGAATATAAGTTTCGACGGCTGGCCGTTGTCCGACTTGGCCCGCATCGTGTGTGACGCCTTCATCACGGTCAATCTGAGCTTGCTCTCACTTCCTCCTCTTCTCCTCTCTTAGGAGACCTCACTCTTCACGGACGTTGCAAGCTCTCTCGCGTCCACCCCCTCTCCGCCGTCAATTCTCCGGACTGTCGGACCACTTCTCGACTGGTCCTTCGACGACGCCACCATGACGGACTTCGGCCTACGCGCTCCCCATGGGCCCGATATGTCGGGAACCCATAATCCTCTCGAGGATATGGATATTCACGAGAAGGGTGCCTTTGACGCCCTCATTCGCCCCGACGATAGCTATACCCCCGATGGCACGTATTGGGCCGACTTGCCGCTTTTGAAGCGGGTCAAGTTCGTCGGTTCCTACGACGCGGCAGAAGCCAAGCGGGAACTCAGTTCGATCTGGCAGATGACAAAGGAAGATCCTCTATCGCCCATCTCGTATTATTTTCGAAATATGGTTCTTCCTGGTGCTGGTCTGGGTCTCGAGGGGTTCGTATTCCTCCAAATCAACGGTTTCTGGAGGCGCGTTATACTCACATTCTTCCCTCTTTAGTTACGTTTTGTTCTCCATCGGAAACATCAAGCCATTGTTCGAGGCCTCCTTCAAGTCCTGCTGGGATGACCATACGATTTGCAACAAACAATGGATCAACGCTGTCGATTATCTCGAGATTGTCGGTATCATCTTCGGCCAGATTTTGGTCGGAATTGTCGGTGACTGGTAAGTTTTCGATTTCTGGCAAATACATCGCGGCAATTATGGCTAACTTGATAATAGGCTCGGTCGTCGCTGGGGTCTTATCCAGGATGCTGCTATCATGTTGCTGGGTTTGGTGATGCTTACTGCTGCTTGGGGTGTCACTGAGAACGGCTGGGTTATCTGCTACGCTTGGTCATTGTTCGTCTACGGTATTGGTGTTGGTAAGTACTCAATGAGACGTGAAAACTTTCGTGCTTCTCACTAACAATATGATTCTAGGTGGTGAATATCCCATGACAGCCACTAGCGGTATGGAAAATGCTGTCGGCTCCGGAAAAGTCTCGACCAAGGAGGACCGCCTCCACCGTGGTCGTAAGGTCACCAGTGCTTTCTTGATGCAGGGTTGGGGTCAATTCTTCAACCAGGCCATCCTGATTATTCTGCTGCTTATTTTCCACCACGGTAGTGGTAACCCGCCTTACTCTTCGGTGGCTACCCAGTGGACCTACCGCATTTCGTTCGCCATTCCCGCCGTCGGCACCTTGTGGCTTGTGTACTACCGTGCTTACCACATGAAGGCCGCCAGTAAGCAGCTTGCGGCGGCTAAGAAGAAGGCCTCTGTTACTGGATACGATGTCAACTCCTTGAAGCTGACCTTCCGTTATTTCGGTTTCCGCATTATCGCTACCGCGGGTGGCTGGTTCGCCAACGATGTCTTCTTTTACGGAAACAAGCTTTTCAGTTCCGAGTTCATCAAGGTGCTTAGCCCTGGAAGCACGTCTATCATGCCAACATGGCTCTGGAGTTTGTGCAACATCGGAGTGTCATTGGCTGGTTACTACTGTGCGTCGTTCTTTGTCGACAACAAGCTTTACGGTCGTAAGTGGATGCAGATGATCGGTTTCCTCATGTGCTTCATCCTCTTCGTCGTCCCTGCTTTCCACTACGAGTACTACACTCGGCCTGAGAACATCCACGCTTTCCAGGCGATGTACTTCTTGAGTTCCTTCTTCAACCAGTTTGGACCCAACTCTGTCACTTTCCTGGTGGCTGCCGAGGTGTTCCCGACTCCCATCCGTGCGACTGCCCACGGTCTCTCTGCTGCTTGCGGTAAGAGCGGTGCGCTGCTGGCATCCGTCTTGTACAACTACATCGACACCCAAACCAAGTTCTACGTTGTCCCTTGGTTCGGTCTTGGTGGCATGGTCTTGACTCTGTTGTTCCTGCCCGACACCACTGGTCTTGATTTGAAGGAGCAGGAGCGTCGCTGGCAGTACATCCGCGACGGCCGCGAGCAAGATTACCATGGTCCTGCTATCCACGCCAAGCACCTTTCCCTCTGGGAGCGTGTGACCGGCGTCGGAAAGAACTACAACGCCGAACTCGACTACAAGCAGAAGGTCGAGGAGTACCGTGCCGAGTGGGAGGCTGCTATGACCGCCAAGATCTCCGAGAACGAGAAGGGCGAGGACTTCGTGCAGGACACGGATGACTCCCTCCTTGAGGGCCATGTCCATGCCTACTTCCACCGCACCAGTCCCATGTTCCGCCCGATGGAGCAGACTGCCACTAAGACGGATAATTTCGCGCTGCCTCCTGCGGCGCAAGATTCGTCTACGGAATCATATAACGAAAAGTCCGAACTATAAACTGGCGTTCTTCTTTTCTTTCATTTTGGGTGTTCATTTTTGGAAAGCGAGCATGTGTGATTGATTGGATGTGGCACGTCAGATTTTGGATGATGATGACACGCATTCCATTTTTGCATTCTTAGTACATTGTTTTTCCCTTGTCAGCTGTCGAGCGAGAGATGTCTTCATTCCTTTCGTCTTGCACTCAATACCCAGGTACATACATGGTACTCGTTAGTATATAGACCTTGATTAATATCATATACCCATGAAGTGATGGTTCGCATCATTGATCTTTCCCCACATACAACATTGCTCCATATATTCATCCCTCCCAAACAAACACCGTCCACGGATCAACGTGTAGTGACATCCGGCATGTAACCTACCATCGTGACACCTACCAAGATTTACTACCATGCGTCCGACCCCGGACCAGCGCAACGCAACGCAACGCAACGCGCCCCGCCCCGCATGCAAGCATTCTGCCGGCCGGACATCCCACCAACCCTCCTGCATGTGGTCGAAAAAGGCAGGCGATAAGAAAAGCGGTGTCGTAATTAGACTCCTTCTCCCCTCACATCAACACACCTTAGTTACTTCTTCATACACTGTTCATATTATATCATTCTATTACTATACATCTATTTGTGTTTACTTCAGTTCTCCTCTCACTTCCTAGAATCAACTATCCTCGAACCACACACCAATCCATCCACCCAACCCAGACAGAGACAGACACACCCCACCACCACCACCAAGAAGAAAAGAAACCCCATGCCCCTCTACGCCTTTGGCTCCAACGGCTCAGGCCAACTCGGCCTCGCACACACAGAAGACGTCTCCATCCCGACAGAATGTCTCTTCGACGATGACCAACCCTTCACCGCTTTCTCATCCTCATCCTCACCCTCCTCTCCATCTTCGTCAAACACAGCAACGATATCCCGCATCGCAGCCGGCGGAAACCACACTCTGATACTATTCTCCGATGGGAGGGTATATGCGGCAGGGTGGAATGAGGATGGGCGGTGCGGATTACCCACAGGAAATCGGGAGGGGGATAAGGAGGTGGTGAGGTTTCGGAGGGTGGTTGTTAATGGGTCATATGGAGAGGGTGGTGATGGTGTCGGGGAAGAAGAGAGGTTTACGAATGTGTCAGCTACATGGGAAGCGACGTTCCTGGTGGCTGGGAGGAAAGTGTATGTTTTGGGGACTGGGGGGAGGGGGGAGTTGGGCCTTGGGGAGGGGAAATCCTGTCTTGAAGGGGTTGGGTGCATTGAGTTCGAGGAGAAGGTCGTCAGTATAGCGAGCGGGATGGGGCATACGGTTGTTGTGCTTGCAGGGGGGCAGGTATATGGATGGGGAGGGGGGAGGAAAGGCCAGTTAGGGGCAAAGGGGAAAGAATCTAAGATTGTGTGGGAACCTGTTAGGATCGATGATGAGGAGGAGATAGGGTTCCGGGCTACAGGGGCGGCGTGTGGAAGGGAGTTTACGGTTGTGGTTGGGGATAAAGAGAAAGGGGAGTTTGTTGTGCTGGGGTCGCCGGGGGATAGGTGGGGGGTTATGTCTGGGGTGGAGGAGCCTGTGGGCTGTTTTCAGGGGATACAGACTAGTTGGCATGGGGTTTATGTACATTGTTCTGATGGGAGGGTTGTGAGTTGGGGGAGGAATGATCGCGGGCAATTGCCGCCGGGGGATATGGGGGTGGTGAAGGAGTTGGCGGTGGGGAGTGAGCATGTGCTTGCTCTTGTTGACATGAGGACGGTTGTGGCTTGTGGTTGGGGGGAGCATGGTAATTGTGGTCCTGTTACGGATGCGCAGGGGAATGTGAAGGGGGTGTGCAGCGCTGTTCCTTTGCCGGATGGGGTTGGGGAGGTTGTTGGGCTGGGCGCGGGTTGTGCGACGAGTTGGGTGATTACTCGGGATTGAGGTCGGAGATAGTCATGCTGAGGGAATGTTCTCGGTGGTCTGCTGTGTACAGGTGTAGGGTGGCTGGTTCAGTCGAAGAGACCGAGGCCGTGCAGCTACGGGTTGTCAGCACGATCAATAGATGCGAACGCGCTCGACTTACCTGTGACATGCGCTGAGTGGGCGGAATTCCCATCTCCTCTTCCTCGTGACTTGCCTGTGCCATTCGGGGTTCGATATCTCGTAACCCAGGGCCTGTGCTTGTCTGTTGGGGGTTTGTCAGTAATAGGCCTGAAGCAGAAGGCGGATTAAGCCATACCTGCTCTCCAGTGGCATCCCAGCCGAGCTCGTCCTCGACTGGACCTTCATCCTCATCATTTGGTACGTCCCATTGCCTGTCGTCATCCGCTGGAACGAACAGACTGTCGAACTCCATCGATGGCGGAGGTTGTTGGGTCTCGGTGTTGGATTGTGAAGCCCGAGTAGAAGTCCCAGTGAGTGGCCGGATCGACCGACTGCGGGGAGGAGGCATTTGTGCGGTCTCTGGAGCCGTGTTCCTTTGGCTTATCTGCACGGGTGCTGGAGTTTGACGTGCGGATAACTGAGGTGCTGCTCGAGAGGAGCCCGGAACGTCCTCCCCGGGCGACTCTCCTCTAGTCATCAGCGTAAATTCGGTTTTGACGCCCTCAGATTCGTAGGCGAATTGCAGAGGGCGAGATGGACGGGTGAACCGGGCGGTGATCTTTGCGTTTGCTGTCTCAGCATGTGCTATTGCCGCCTTGAAGTCCTTCATGTGGATGGCAACGTGAAGATGGTCTTCTGCTAAATAGTAATCGAAGTCCCTTTTCTCAATAGCTACGGACGTGTGCACCGGCTGGCGAAGGATTTCTGTGACAGACGGTGAGTAGGCTGGTAAACTCATGGAACAGTCCGGTAGCATTACCTTTTCCGTCTGAGCTTTTCGTGGTAAAGCTGGTAAAGACAGCCTTGCCTTGCTCGGAGTAGATATCCAGATGCTCTGCTGAGGGGCCGAAATGATCCGTTATCTCCTTCAAGTACTTGGGTTCAATACTCCATTCGTTTGTCGCTTTGGATCTGTCGAATATGGCATGTTGCACATGGACAGGTTCATACGTAAGCTTGTAGAGCTTGATGACGCCTAAGGACTGTGAGCTGGAGCCGCAGATAAGCCCGAACTCAGAACATATCGAATGCTTACCAAGCCCACATATTAATCTAATGACGAGTCTGCATTCGGTTTCATCAAGGTCTTCCTGGAGCTCAACCTCGCACCGTTCGACAGAAGTGTCCTTGTCACGTCCACTCGTCTTTCCTTTAAAGGCCGATAGGAGGGCCTGTGGTATGTCAGCCCAAATACGAGACTACTTAGTACGTAGGTTCCGACCTTAATTAGCACCTGACAGCTGAATTTGTCTGGATGAGCAGTCCTAGACGAGCTGCCATTCCTCACCCTACCGAAAGAGTAGGACTCGAAAAAGCCATCCGCTTCGAAGACAAACGCCGAGTAGGCCGTCTTGGTCGAGTTGAGCACGCTTAAGCGAAGCTTCGGTGATCAATTAGCCCAGTTCGGCCTGTATTTCTCCTTCAATCAGGCCATCAACTTGCCAGGTCAATCTCAGCTTCTATTGCCACGCTATCGTCGAACTTTGCTAGACACATCAGAGCATCATGTAGTTGGTATATCGCCTTCGGGGCGAGCGAGAACGATAGAGTTGTCATATTCGTTTAGGATAAGAACGGCATATCCAGCTGTAAGCAACTCCCTAGTACCTCATAACAATAGAAGGTTTTAGATGCAGTGAATCCCTTCTAGAATCCCGATATAGCTCCTCCTAAATTATATTAGGATCCTGTCACTCCGTCACGGCAGATCGCAAACACGACGCGAGCTTACATAAGCGGCGCTGTACGGGAGGCGCCTTGCTTCCTCAGTCAGCTCCCAGAAATACGACGAAGCATCGTTCCTGGTGATGCTGTATTCGAGAACCTGAGGCAGAGTTTGACTGGGTCTTTTTCGTCGGTTGTTGTGCTATTTTCATCGGAGTTGACGGTATCCTCTCGTGAAGATGACCTTCGCGTTAGCCGGTGACGTACTCTATATGATCTTGGATGTCCTGGGCGACGAGAAGGATTATAACAGCCTTTTTCAATGCGCAATTTCTTCGAAATGCTTTACCGAGCATTCTTTGGCTGTGCTATATAAGTAAGTATCTATAATTTGATGCAATGGCGCATTGGTGGTGGATGCTGATGATGACAGGCTATGTGATACTTCGCCGGTGAGGGGCGGAGGTACAGAAGACGAGCAGTTCAGGTCTCGGAGAGTGGCCACCGTCTGGTCTAGTAGAGGCGAACAGGATCCTGTCATAAGGAAATGGGCCCTATTATGGCGTTCCGTTATCCTGTCTACTTTGGACCAAACTTACCTCCCTTACTATAGCTATATCCGCTATCTTGATTTGGACGACTTCGGGGACCTCCTTAAGGAACCGCGGTTTACGAAGACGATGAAGGAGTATGTCTTCCACTACTAAATGTAAGTTATATGATGCTAAAATATCTAGTGACTTCTTTACCCCGGAGCTATTGGACTTGGTGTCCCACGACTACGAAGTCAAGGGATCCAAACGGCTTCGCTCGTCAAAAGCCTATCCCGACAATGATTGGGTCATGGTGAAGATTGGCACAGGTTGGTCTCTCATCTTTTTTAGCTAACCTGATGGTCATTGCTATACAGCTGTTGGTCCTCAGTGCTGACACTTGAAAGCAATCATTCAGAAAACTAGGTCAATACGAGGGATGTCTTGTAACGGTAGTCTCCATCTAGGCTCCATGATCTTCCTTAGACGGTCCAGAGATGTCTGATCGCTCTCTAGTGCCACCGGAAACCCTTTCTGCATGGATCGAAGGGTTACCCCTGCTAAAGTCCTTGACAATATGGTCTGGGGATGCACTAAGCCAGCATGCTGGCGATAAGATCCGCAACCACTCTCCTGATTTCAAGCAGCTTACAATATACGGATGGTATGGCTCTGCAGCGAATGTTGTCCTCTGAAGCTTACATATAGACCAGGAAAAATGATCCACCGAGGAATGCAGAGGCTGACTCTGAACAATTCTTGACCGAATTACGCCCCAATACGCTAGAGTACTTCGAAGTACTCAGTTACTCTCAGCTGGGGCCTCGCTCTATCAGATCACTAGGGTTACATCTGGATTCTCTAGCAGAGCTAAAGCTAACGAGTCTCACCATTGAGACAATCGCAGAACTGCCCTCACTAACAGCAGCGCCAGCGTTGAAAGTACTGGTACTGACTGACTCCATACCAGCTACGCGAGACGAAAACTTCTACGCAGTTGTCACACGAGTTGCTGAATGGATATGCAGTTGCAAGGCCTTGCAACGCTTGGAACTCAGACGATTTGTCGACGACTCTTACCTGTTATCGCAGGTTCTACCCCATGAAGGGCTCCGTCTGACAACGCTGTCCTTAGCTGGATATGCAATGGCGGACAGCCGTCTTTTCCACGAGGCTCTCGCTTGTCAGCAAACCTTGGAAAATCTCTACCTTCGCGGCGAAGGGAGTGAGTTTCCACCAGGCAATGAAATACTTGCAGACGTGATTAGCCGGCTCAGCAACCTCCGAGAGCTGGAACTCAAAGACATTTCTGACGGGTTCACTACAGACCATGTGGCTTACATCGCACACATGCTCCCTCATCTTGAGAGACTATGGATAAGCGGCGAATTCTTCGATGATACAACGCTCACTGCGTTCCTGGATCTACCAAGCCTCCAGAGTCTCTCCATCCACGCCTTCAGTAACTTTACCGCTGATGGCATACTCTCTTTTATTTCACAATTGGGACCTAAGAACAGGGGCTTCAACCTGGCTATTTTGAACGCAGTCGATAGCACCCTTACCGAAGAAGCGCAAAATGTAATTCGCGATACTCTGAAAGTGAGTTTGGATGGGACGTTTGACTATGGTCTTGCTCAAGGTAAGTTAACTGGCTAATGCTGCCTCAATTGGAAGGGCTGACGATAAGTAGATGAGGACAGCGACTTAGACTCGGATCAGATGTCGGACTGATTGGCAAAGTACTATGTAGGCGCCGGACTACTATTATCATGACTCCACTGGCGGTGTGAAATCTGAGAGATTGTAAAATGCAATCAACACTATTTGACAAAATACTCAAATGAGCTGAAACTACTCCGTAATTAGAATTCAACCATATCTAATAAGTGTAGAAACCCAAGGGCTCTCCATGGATATGTAGCGTTAGGCTGCTTACTGAATTCGGCAAACAAACCACTTAACGGGGATTGGTGGAGGGCGCGTCTTCACCGCGTCCCGCACGCGTTACTTTCTCCTCCGCGCGACGCCCGCCTTTCGGAGTTACAGTAGCAACCAGCACACTCAATCAGCCCCTTCCCTAATTCAACCTCCCTATACCCCATTACGGGTCCTTAACCGATCAACCCACCGGAAGACTTTCATGGACACATAGTACCTGTGGTAGAAAACCACCAGTGCGCCATGTCTGCTTCCCGCGCCAAATTGGCGGAGCTGCGCGCCCTTCGCGCCGCAGGAAAGAAACGCCTGTCGACATACGAAGTTGAGGAACAAGGCGACATTTACGAGGAGGTTGACGATGAGGGCTACAAGAAGATTATCCGCAACCGGCTTGATCAGGATGACTTCGTGGTCGACGATAACGGAGAAGGTTATGCAGACGACGGTCGCGAGGTGTGGAACGAGCGGACTGCAGACTACGGCGACAGCGAGAGTGAAGACGACGAATTGCCTGCCCGGGGTAAGGCTGCGAAGAGGAAGCGCGAGGAGGAAAAGCAACGACAGGAGAAGATCAATAATGGCATCTCGAAATATTTCAACAGCGGGGCTGCGCCCTCTGCTCCCAAGCCCAAGGTGAGTTGAAGAAGAGTTCTGTTGAGCACAAATGGCTCTCTCTAATGTTCTGTTTAGCCGGTCGCTACTGCAGAAGACGACGCTTTCATGGCCGATTTGCTCGGAGAAGTCGATACCAACGTGGTCCCGCATCGAGTCCCTACGAGGAATATAGTCAAGACTGAGGCTCGTCGCAAAGTTCGCATCTTGTCACCCCCGCTCGCCGATAGAACACGCAAAGAAAGGCCTATAAAGAAAGATGAAAACAGTGACCCGGTTTCGCCGGTTAAGGATCAACCAGAGCTCAATTTCGACGACGACGATGGGGCACTTCCTGGTATGGATGATGACGACGTTCCCATGAGTGACCCAATGCCATCGTCTCCCATCAGCAAAGCGGTAGAACGAAAGTCAACCACAACTCCTGTCAAGGTCGAGGAGTTCGATGATGATGATAATGATATAATGGAAATCGCGCAAGTCACTGGTCAGAACGACGCTAAGGCGACCAGCATCAACATGGCTGGAAGCCGGCCCCCGCCCAAACTCAAGAAGGAGAGCACTCCGGCTCTGGCTAGCTCCTCGCCTACAAAGCCAATGCCAGAAGTAGACGCATCTTGGAATGACGTAAGGAGCAAGCTGAATGTTCTCAGCAGCCCTGCGTCGTCGGAAATGCGTAGCTTCGGTAAGCTTCGCGCCCAAGATGTCGTCGAGGAAGACGGAAGTCTGCGCATGTTCTGGTTGGATTTCACAGAAGTCAATGGCAGTCTTTGCCTGTTTGGAAAGGTGAAGAACAAGCAAAATGGTTCTTACGCCAGTGCATTCGTCAAGGTTGACAACATCCTACGCAAGCTCTATTTCCTGCCACGAGAGTATCGGCACAAGAATGGGCGAGAGACGGATGAAGAGGTGGACATGGAAGATGTTTATCATGAAGTCGATGGGATGATGTCCAGGTTGAGGGTAGGTATGCACAAGATGAAGCCCTGCACGCGCAAATACGCTTTCGAATTGCCTGGTGTCCCGAAAGAGACCGAATACCTGAAGCTCTTTTATCCTTATGACAAATCTCCGTTGCCAATGGATGTGAAGGGTGAGACCTTTTCGCATGTATTCGGCACAAACACGTCATTGTTCGAGCAGTTTGTTCTCTGGAAGAATATCATGGGTCCTTGTTGGCTGAAAATCGAAGAGGCGGATTTCACTGCTGTCAACAACGCGTCTTGGTGCAAATTTGAATGCCAAGCGGCAAAGCCGGCACTTATTTCTCCTGTACCTGATTCTGAGAATCTAGAAGCGCCTCCTCTGACGCTTATGAGTCTCTCCTTCCGAACCCAGCTCAACGTGACAGAGAACAAGCAGGAGATCCTTGTGGCGAGTGCAAGAGTATATGAGAATGTCTCCCTTACGGACACCACTCCGCCCGAGAGGCTGCCCTGCAAGACGTTCACAGTCATGCGGCCTGCCGGCTCTTCATACCCAATGCACTTCGAAGCCGAAACGCGAAAGCAGCGGGGCACCTTCATGCTAGAGAAGAGCGAACAGTTTTTGCTCAGCAAGTTCCTGGCGCTGTTCGAGAAGATGGATCCCGATGTTCTAATGGGACATCAGCTTCAGGAGGTTGACCTCAGCATTCTGCTCAGCAGATTGAAGGAGAAGAAGACCCCTGGCTGGCATCGCCTTGGAAGGTTGAAGCGCGGCGACTGGCCCAAGAACTTCAACAGAGGTGGAGGTTTCTTCGCCGAGAGGCACCTGATTGCTGGAAGGCTGATGTGTGATGTAGCCAATGATATGGGCAAGGTAGGTTTTCCGTTTACTCTTTCAATTCAAGGTGACTTTGTACTAATGGTTGGAAGTCTCTGATGATGAAATGTCAATCTTGGAGTTTGACGGAGATGTGTGACCTCTACCTCGGAAAGGAAAATGCCAGACAAGAACTGGATTGCGAGGCAGCACTGAAGACATGGGCTACTACCAAGGATGGCCTCATGAACTTCGTCAATCACTGTGATGCGGATACCTATTTCATTGCTGCGTTGGTCCTGCGGCTTCAGATGTTGCCCTTGACCAAGGTTCTCACGAATATTGCTGGTAACTCTTGGGCAAGAACGCTCAGTGGTACGCGTGCTGAGCGGAATGAGTATATTCTTCTCCATGAATTCCACCGTAACAAGTACATCTGTCCCGACAAATACTCCTCCAAGCTACTGAAAGCTGAAGAGAAGATGCAAGAAGGTGATGATGATGAGTCGGCGGATAAGAAAAAGAAGGACAAGTACAAGGGTGGTCTTGTTTTTGAACCTGAGAAGGGTCTTTATGACAAGTTCATCCTTGTGATGGACTTCAACAGTCTGTATCCCAGTATCATCCAGGAGTACAATATCTGCTTTACAACAGTGGAACGAACAGCGACTGTGAGTTCATATGCCAAGGAAAGTGTATGGAACATGGGCTGACATCTCCAGGCGGATAATGACAAGGAAGAAAAGGTTCCCGAAGTTCCTACCTCGGATCAGGAGCAGGGTATCCTGCCCAAGCTTATTGCTACTTTGGTCGGTCGTCGACGTGAAGTCAAGAAGCTGATGAAGGACAAGCGCGCCACTCCTGAGCAGCTTGCTCTGTGGGACACCAAACAGCTGGCCTTCAAGCTGACCGCTAACTCCATGTACGGATGCTTGGGATACACACAGAGTCGCTTCTACGCACGTCCTTTAGCCATGCTCACCACGTTCAAGGGTCGTGAGATTCTCAGAAGCACCAAGGAACTGGCAGAGTCCAAGCAGCTTAGAGTCATCTATGGTGATACTGACTCGGTCATGATCAACACGAACATGGACACGATCAGCGATGCGCTAAAGGTCGGCGATGAGTTCAAGAAATCAGTAAACGAGCGTTACCGATTACTGGAGATCGACATTGATAATGTGTTCCGTCGTCTGCTTCTTCACGCAAAGAAGAAGTATGCCGCCATCAACATGACTGAAGTAGATGGCAAGTACGTGGACAAACTCGAAGTCAAAGGTCTGGATATGAAGAGACGTGAATATTGCTCGTTGTCGAAGGAGGTCTCCCAGAAACTGCTGAATGAGGTTCTCTCCGGTGAGGATCAGGAGGTTGTCCTCAATCGCGTCCATGACTATCTACGCGAGTTGGCCGAGAAGATGCGCGAGTTCTCCGTCCCCGTCCAAAAATACGTCATTTACACGGTATGTTTTGATTAAAGCTCACTCGTCTGGCTCGCGCTAACTCACCTGCCTAGAAACTTTCCAAGCGACCCGAGGAATATCCTAACAAGGAATCCATGCCCCCGGTACAAGTTGCCTTGCGCGAACTTGCCCGTGGTAAATCGGTTCGCCCTAACGACGTGATATCGTATGTCGTAACGAATGGTGATGCCGAGACCTCGTCTCTTGCACCGGCCAAACGGTCATACACTCTTCAGGACGTGATGAAGCCGGACTCAGGACTCAAGCCTGATATCGAATTCTACCTTCTCAAGCAGATCTTCCCACCGATTGAACGTCTCTGTGCCCCCATCCCCGGTACCGATGCCGTTCGACTAGCCGAGTGCTTGGGGCTTGATGTCCGCAAGTACCAGATTAATAGCTCCAGTGGGAGCAACCAACAGAATGCCGATATCTTTCCGCTCGAGTCGCAGATTCCAGACTCTGTGCGTTTTGAGAACGCTACCCGGCTTACGCTTACCTGCCGGTTCTGCAAGGAGAAGTCGGTCTTTGAAGGACTCGCACAGTCCACCCACATGTGCACTGCCAACGGCATCATTTGTCCCAACCAGGCGTGTCAGAAGCCATTCTCTGTCTTGACGATCGTTGCCCAGTTGGAGGCACAAATTCGAGCACAGACGTCCAAGTACTATGAGGGCTGGCTCGTCTGTGACGACACGGCGTGCGGCAACCGGACTAGACAGATCAGCGTGTATGGACACCGGTGCCTTGGACCCCGGGGCCACGCTGAGGGCTGCCTTGGTCGAATGACGTACGAGTACTCGGAGAAGCAGATGTATAACCAACTACTTTACTTCGCAGGACTTTGGGACGTGGACAAGGCTCGGAAAGCGGCCGAGAAGGAGCCCACTGGGGAAAAGAAGGACGGCGTGGCGGCCCTGGCTGAGTTCAACCGCATACGTTTTGGAACCATCAAAGGGGTGGTGGACGCATATCTGAAGAAGTGCGGCCGGCAATGGGTCGAAATGGACAGTCTGTTCCGCTTCATGCTGCCGTGATTGATCCTTATCGTTTTTCTGTTATGTATATAGCTTATATCTGGGCGGTTCGGATTTGGGACTTGGTCATCAATGTGAATAGCGGGCATTGCTTTGTACTAGATGATGGAATGAGAATTAATAGGCATGAATGACATTGTATTGTGATTTTCTCGAGATATGGATTGCCTAATCGGGAAAGCCCCGCACCCCGCCAATCAAGCCCGGCGCTTTCTCTGCCCGCCGCAATCTCCCGCCATCAACTTCACCCGTTCCATACTCGCTCGGTTCTTTTTCCTAGGTTTCTGGCGACCTGGTCTTCCTCAATTGATTCTTTTAGACATTACAGGAAGCCCCCTAGTGACCGCCGTCATGTCAGTCGCGCGAGTTCTGGTCATTGCGGGATCTGACAGCTCCGGTGGCGCGTATGTTTGAGCATGGACACTCCCAGTTTTAGACCTGTCAAGCTAATGCATTTCCGTGGGGTTTAGGGGTCTGGAAGCGGACCAGAGGGTTCTGGCTGCACATAGCTGCTATGCTCTTACGGCAACGACTGGTCTCACGGCCCAGAATACCTTGGGGGTGCAAGACATCTTCATTGTTCCCGCAGAGTTCGTGAAAAAGCAGATTAATGCCGGTCTGGAAGATGTTGGCGCAGATGTTGTCAAATTGGGTACGAGCGTTGCTTCTTCTAATCTTTCTACCAACAACTGACAGGGTGACAGGCATGCTCTCTTCGGCAGAAACAATCGACGTCATTGCTGAAGCATTGACCGTGCACCAAGTGCCTGCGGTGGTGCTGGATCCGGTAGCCTTTCCCTATGTTACTTGGTGATTCAAATAAAGTCTCTGTCTCTGACCCTAAAATGAACAGGTCATGGTCTCTACTAGCGGGTCACGACTATTACCTGAAGCAGCCATTAAAGGTCTGCGGACAAAGCTTCTTCCCTTAACGACTGTTCTTACCCCCAACATTCCCGAAGCCGTGCTGCTGCTGAAGGATTCTGGTGTGGACGTCCCAGAACCGACGGACCTGCCTGGCCTTATCCAGCTCGCGAAGCAGGTCTGCTCCTTAGGTTCCAAGGGTGTCCTACTCAAGGGAGGTCATTTGCCGCTCACGAATGATAACCGGACCGCTCAGAATCATGAAGATGCCTCCAAAGTCATTGATGTGTTTTATGATGGGAAAGACATTACCTTGTTCGAGACTGACTATCTGATATCGAAGAATACACATGGCACTGGCTGCTCACTTGCCTCAGCCATTTCGGCCAATCTCGCTCATGGTAAGGATATGAGACGGGCAGTTCAGAGTGCGGTGCGATTTGTTGAGGCGGGTATTAAGACCAGCATCGATCTCGGAAAGGGTAGTGGACCGATCAATCACTTCCATTCTTTCTACTGCCTACCTTTCTCGCCGTGAGTGTCTCGGTATTCTCTATACTTGATGACTTGCTCTGCTAATGATGTTATACAGCGGACATTTCGTGGAGTATGCTCTAGACCGTCCCGACGTCCAGCCAGCGTGGAAGCGTTTCACCGAGCACGAGTTTGTCAAGAGATTGGGAGATGGCACACTTTCGGAGGAAAGGTTCAAGTCATATCTCGTGCAAGACTATCTTTACTTGGTAGGGTGTTTAAGGTGAATGCTGTGACCCTGGCTTGCTGACTCCCGATGTAGGTTCAATTCGCCCGGAGCAACGCCCTAGCCTCGTACAAAGCTGGAGACATGGAGTCCATTGCCGCGGTGAGTATAGTTATAATAAGTTGCCGGCATGTAATGCAGCGAGCTAACGGCGTGACATTTCATCATAGTCGGCCAAGATCGTTCTACACATTCAACGTGAGACTGCGTTGCACCTCGACTACTGTGCTTCCTTTGGGCTGTCGAAGGAGCAAATGGAGAGCACCCCCGAAACCATTGGTGTGTAACAGCTTCCGAGTTGTATGGTGGTAATTACATAGGCAGATTCGCTGACAGTTCACTCTCTACTGAACAGCATGCACCGCATACGGCCGGTATATCCTTGATATCGGACAATCGCAGGATTGGCTCGCATTGCAGGTGGCCCTTGCGCCCTGCTTACTCGGATACGGGGCAATTGCACAGAGGCTGTACAGCGACAAGGAGTCAGTCCGTGAGGGCAACCGATACTGGAAGTGGATTGAGAACTATGTGGCGGAAGACTACACCGAAGCCGTGCGCTTGGGATCCGGTGAGACTCCCACTCGAGCAGATGACAACCTACCACGTAATGAGAGATGGCTAACACTGGCTTAGAACTACTGGAGACGCATATGCGACAGGTTTCGCCCAGTCGAGTGGAAGAACTGATCAAGATCTTCATACGAGCGACAGAGTTGGAGATTAGCTTCTGGGACATGGGGTTGGGTGGCAAACACTTGTAGGAAGAAGGGAAAGCGAGCAGCTACTCATAAGAGGTGAAATGCAGGGAATCCTGAGTTGAAATAGGTTCTATAGATTATGTACAATGTCATCGACTGCATGAATATTCCAAATATGCTTATAGCTACCCATGAAATATCTGCCCGTCCTGCTCTTTCTCTCTCTCTCCCTCTCAGCCATCTAGACTAACAAAAGTCGAAAGTGGAAACACCATCGCCTTCCGCCTTAATCAGCGGTGGCGGCGGGGACCAATCAGAACGCAGCTTCAACGCATTTTCTGCGCCAATTCCCCTGCGCTAAGCCGCAACGGGCGAGTGTTTGCCTCCGCCGGTTTTTGCTTTTCTTTTCTTTTCTTCGCTTGCTTCCCGCCCGTCGCTTCCCTTTTTCTTTCTTCCTTCCATCCTTCTGCTTCATCCTTTCTCTCTCTCTCTCTGTGTCTTTTTCTCTCCTTCCTCTCTTTCTCCCTCCTCCATCTCCTCGTCTTTGAAGGTTGTGTTACTACCTTCAGACTTCTCTTTGTTGATTCCCTCGCTCCAGTCCCGTCTCCTCGTGGTCTTGTTGGACGCCCCCGGTTTCTTTTAACCTCATAAAAAAAAACTTGTTTTTTTCTTCCTTCACATAACATCATTATGTCTTCCTACGGCGGCGGCGGCGGCTACCAGCGCGACTCCTACCGGTAAGCTATCCCTTTGCAATCAGAGCACTGGTCTAGATGGATTGCTGGAGCGCAAACCAGCCTTGTGGCTGTGCGACATGAATCGCGACTCTGATCGCTTCCTGGCTATTCCAGCCTGCCTTGCGGTCCGGTCTGTCACGCGATCCGGTCAACCTTCAACCCATCTAGTCCTATCGGCTCTTCTCAACACTGCGTCGTGAATCTGTACCTCTCAAACGAACATGCTTGCTAACTTGCCATATAGCTCCAGAAACGGTGGCGGCGGCGGCGGCTACGGTAACGGTAACGGTTACTCCAACGGCGGAGGCTACGGTGGTGGTGGTGGTGGTGGTGGTTACGGCGGTGGTGGCTATGGCGGCGGCGGCTACGGCGGCGGCGGCTATGGTGGCAGAGGTGGTGGTGCCGGCGGTGCTGGCGGAGACCGCATGTCCAACCTGGGCGCCGGTCTGAAGAAGCAGGAATGGGATCTTGACTCCCTGCCCAAGTTCGAGAAGTCCTTCTACAAGGAACACGCCGATGTCGCCGAGCGCTCTCAGCGTGATGTTGACGAGTTCCGTAAGAAGCACGAGATGGCTGTTCAGGGAAGAAACGTCCCTCGCCCTGTCGAGACCTTCGACGAGGCCGGTTTCCCTCAATACGTTCTCAGCGAGGTCAAGGCCCAGGGCTTCGACCGCCCTACCGCTATTCAGTCTCAGGGTTGGCCCATGGCCCTCTCTGGTCGCGACGTTGTCGGTATCGCTGAGACGGGTTCCGGAAAGACCCTGACCTACTGTCTTCCTGCCATTGTTCACATCAACGCCCAGCCCCTCCTCGCCCCCGGTGACGGCCCCATTGTCCTTATCCTCGCCCCCACCCGTGAATTGGCCGTTCAGATTCAAGCCGAAATCTCCAAGTTCGGAAAGTCTTCCCGTATCCGCAACACCTGTGTCTACGGTGGTGTCCCCAAGGGTCCTCAGATCCGTGACCTGAGCCGTGGTGTGGAAGTCTGCATTGCGACTCCCGGTCGTCTGATTGACATGCTCGAGGCTGGTCGCACCAACCTTCGTCGTGTCACCTACCTCGTTCTGGATGAGGCCGATCGCATGCTGGACATGGGTTTCGAGCCCCAGATCCGCAAGATCATCTCCCAGATTCGCCCTGACCGTCAGACCTGCATGTGGTCCGCTACATGGCCCAAGGAGGTCCGTCAGCTTGCGTCTGACTTCCTCAACGACTACATCCAGGTTAACATTGGTTCCATGGATCTGTCGGCCAACCACCGTATCACTCAGATCGTCGAGGTCGTCTCGGACTTCGAGAAGCGCGACAAGATGATCAAGCACCTCGAGAAGATCATGGAGAACCGTGCCAACAAGTGCCTTATCTTCACCGGCACCAAGCGCATCGCTGACGAAATCACTCGCTTCCTCCGCCAGGACGGATGGCCGGCACTTTGTAAGCTTCCTTGGATCCCAATACTGAAACAGCTATTTGCTAACCTGCGTTCCAGCTATTCACGGTGATAAGCAACAGCAAGAAAGAGATTGGGTCTTGAACGAGTTCAAGACGGGCAAGAGCCCAATCATGGTGGCTACTGATGTGGCTTCCCGTGGTATCGGTATGAATAAATCGCAAACTCCCCCCCTCCCTTCCCCCCCCTTACTCCCTTCCTTTCTTGCCTCCCGAGTCACCCTCACCCATATTGAGGTTGTGTGACCATGGCACGGTGCTTAACTCTCTTCCACCAATTGTTGGTGTGTATGACTCTTCCAGGCTTTGTCGGGTCTCCTGAAATGGTTCTCAAGCCAGGAGAGCCTTGGACTCACAGTGCAGTGTAGCAGACGTATTACTCTTCTGTTTTGATTCACCATATCTACCTTTTGAAACTTGGCCGGTAGAGGGAGGGAAAGCTCCTCTCTTACCGACTTGTTGAAGCTGCATTCCAAGGTTGCTCTAGGACCACGATATCTGCCACCCTCGGACTCGTCTGTCACGGATCTTTTGATGATTTAAGTCCGAGCGAGAGAGAGAGATGCATCAAGTCTCACGACTGAGAAAGGGCTCCTAAGCCACGTTGCTCATTTGACTAATGCTCTGTATGCTAACGTTACATGTGTTTGAAGATGTGCGCGACATCACACACGTTCTCAACTATGACTACCCCAACAACTCGGAGGACTACGTTCACCGTATTGGTAGAACTGGTCGTGCCGGTGCTAAGGGTACCGCCATCACCTTCTTTACCACTGACAGTAAGTCGTTTCTTCCCTTATGAAACGCCTCTTCAGTACTAACATGTCCATCTTGCAGACTCCAAGCAGGCTCGTGACTTGGTCACCATTCTCACTGAGGCCAAGCAGCAGATTGACCCCCGTCTCGCCGAGATGGTCCGCTACAGTGGCGGCGGTGGTCATGGCCACGGTGGCTATGGCCGCTGGGGTGGCCGTGGTGGTGGCCGTGGTGGTGGCCGTGGCCGCGGCAACCACTTCACTGCTTCCAATGCTGCTCCTCTTGGTGGCAACCGTCGCTGGTAACCTGACCTCGCTGCTCAGTTCACTCACTGAGCTTGTATTCCATTCTCACATCGGTAGACGTTCTTTTTCCTTCGCATGATTCCTTTTTCGTAACCACGGTACGGGCGGCGTTCGTCGATATCACGATAGACTATTCGCGTGTTTTGCTCAGTTTACAACAACAGGCTCCCCCGACATAGGGTGACCTCGAAACCTACACGATTGTGCACTGATATTTCTCATGGATACACGTTAATTATCTCATTCTTTGTTGTGGTTTATCAAACAAAAAAGTTATGTATCACTTGGCTTGTTCCCGGAACGGATGGGACTAGATAGTGTGTAGCTTCACTTGCATGCTGATAATTGGAGAGAAACTGTACCTATCTGCTTCTGGTTTTTTTAGCTTTATGAAATGGTCAATCGTTTTACCTCTTGACAAAATTGCTGGGAGCACACCTTTACACCATCACAAGTTACCCTCTCAAGTCACCTACATGAAGTCCATGCACTTAGATAGTAATCTACAGGCTTGATCCCTGCTATCCAGCCTCGATCTGCAACACCCCCTCCATCCACCAAGAAAAAGCAAAGGGAATACAACAGCAGCAGCAGCAGCACAAAGCACGCCCGAATGAAACAGGCGGTAGCTGCATAACACCGCAGCAGCCACGCAGGAAGCAGAGACACCGGGTGAGCGGACTGACCAGTTTATTTACCAGTAGTACTGCTTAGGTCAGGTTAGGTTAGTTGGCTGGCTGATTAGCAAGCAAGTAGTGACAGGCATTATCCTTGTTTATATCCTTGTTCATGGGCGGGGGAGGGTGGATAGGTATTTTCATTTTCAATATTATTACTAGTGTTTAGCTGATAACTATGTATGTATTTGATCGTATGTATGTATTGATGGATTTATCGTAATAATTGGTAGGATTATGATTACTAGGGTCATCCTGGTTTAAATTCTTTTCTTACCAATGACGTGGTTAGGACTATGTATGTAGTATGTAGTATGCTTGGTAGTAGACTAGTTATTAGTAGTGGTAGATGGTAGGTAGGTAGGTAACAGTTCACCTCAAACCTGCGATGTAACGGTTCGCTTCGAGTGGCTGTGTCTTTCTTTTTCTTTTCTCTTTTGCTTCTTTCTTCGAGGATGGTGAGGGGTTTTTGTTTTGTTACTACCTGCTTCTTTGGATTGGATTTATTCCATTCATTTCTTATGGGTTTGTTGGTAGTGGTGGTTGTTTTTGTTGTTGTACTATATATATCATCATTATGATGAAATTGAATTCATAGAGCTTGGTTAGTAGTAGCTGCGGGGATGCAGAAGTACATGTAGTATAGTAGATTGGCACTGCAGTATTTTTTATGGTTATGATACTTAATAGTAGTGTAGGGTTATAGTATGAACTTTGTCTCTGATACTGGTCGTGTTGGCAATCGGGTATTGAATACTATTTGGTACTTCTGATTTACTTAACATACAGGTGATTGATGAATGAGTGGGGTAATTATTATGTGGGATATGGTTTTGTCTGCTACATAGTAGTTCACACTAGTTCTTCTGATTTCATCTGTTGACCATTTATGTATTCTGAATTTGATGAGTGGTGTTGTGATGATATATTTGGAATGGTGCTGTACTTTCAACTACTACTTATCAAATCCCATGTCTCCAAGAGCCAGCCACTACCACCATGAAATGACTATATATACCAAACCTATATTCCAGTGACATAGTAGTAACTTACTGTATAACCCATCTCAATCCGACCACTCCTCCAACTTCCTCTCCACAGCACCAGCCAAGATCTCATGAACATGGCTCGTCATATGCCCCGAATTATACCAGAAATAAGTATCCAACGGCGTAGGACAGCCATACGCCTGATAATTCCACGCGATATCCGGCTGATCATATCCCGCACAGAAGTTCGTGATATTCACAATGCCGAAGTCACCCGGGTTATCCAGAATATAGCTGAGTTCGCTATGCGCGTCGAACAACATCACATTGGTGTCGGCGTAGCGATCATGGAACGCACTGGCATGCTGAGCCAACGCATCATTGTACCAGGTGATTTGTGTTGCGTTGGGACTGGGATCAGCGCTGCCTAGGTTTCCTGGTCTGCGGTCCAGCGGGGGAAGGTTCATGAAGAGATAGGAACGGTATCCCTGGGAGTAGATAGTCTGGACGGAGGAAAAGAGTGTATTCATGAGCTCGTTGTAGAAGGTCGGGAAGTCGACATCGTATTTCGAACTGTCGCCGATGTCGTTGATCCCGATCCAGATGGCTACTAGTGCGTGTGACTGGTCTACGGTCTTCTTCAGCACGGGTTGCGCGTAGGTGTTGAATTGCTTAACTTGGTTGACAAGCGAGACGGTGAAGTTGTGGTGGAGTGGGGTGCTGTACTGGGTTAGAGGAAGTATGCAAGATGATGTATGGCTTGCAGATGCGTACTATTCAACTGAGATGTCTGATCCTGCAAAGGCGAAGTCCCATAGCTGTTGGTCGCAGTCGAAGGGTGAGGTGAGTCCCTCCTCGAGACCGCAACCCGTCAGGTATTCCACCCAATTGGGACCGCCCTCTGCAGTGGCAGTCTGCATTTCATGAATGCATCAGCAACACTTCAAATGGGTGCGAGTATATTTCAAAAAGAGGAATGGTTGTCACCTGGTTCTGGACAATCTTGTCAGTCAGCAATGTGTGTGGGTCATATGCAAAGTTCTGTAAATCCCCGATGAAACTATAGTTCTGTAGCCCGTCTGTCCCTTGAACATATGTATACGAGTCCCCGAAGGCGATTCTAGCATATGTATCAGCAACTCTCTACCGGATCTCCATATGCGGCCATCAATGAGAGCAAGCACGAACAAGTATTTCGTCGAGTCCCATTCAAACCCGCCTTTATAAGCAGCACCAGAAGGGTATGCCGGAATCATCGGAATGGCCCCGAGGACCAGAAAATGCCATTTTACGAACATGATTTGACGTTTGCTTGATTTAGCTCTAAAGAAGGGCATTTTGACTGCTAGACAATGCCAAGCTGATAGCCTGCTGAATTTATATACGCATTGTACCAGAGGCAATTGATTCTCTACTGCCAGATTAACCCCGCAAAAGCATTTAGAGTCCGGAGAAATGACAGCATAAAGTGCCTTCCACGGAGGATAATTTTCCACTTGTCATTAGCTGCAGCGGGCTGACATACAGCAAACAAGCAGATCGCGTGCGATTTCAGATCTGCAGTGTCTATCTGAGATAGATCACACTTTCTGGATTGCTTCAAGGTGGATGAAGATTCCGCTGCTTTGTCGTGACTCGCTTTTGTGAGCCTCGGCACATCAGTCGATCGGGTCCGGAGAGCACACCGTCTGGGAGTGCGTGGGGGCGCCATGGGGAAGCTGTCTTGCCGAGCTATCTGGGCATTCTCTTGCTTGCCGACGGCCGGGAAAAGGGACATCCAGGAAGCAGAATCTCGCTCCAGAACTGTTCAGATAGCTAGCGAACCAAGCCTTGCCGATCCGGGCACGCAAGGAGGGCCAAGATTATCTGGGGTTGAAGAGCCCAAAGGGAGGCTCAATCGACTGCGGGGAGTTAGTCCAGCCAAGCGAGATGGCGCGCCCTGCAAAGCTCCGGTTTGCGGCGACGCGATTCAGAACGCATCCATGGACAGACCGACACGCTTCGGAGAGGAAGGTGTTGGACAGCGGGACCTCGCGAGGTTTCGCTTTTCCACGGAGAAAAGTCAGGATGGATGAAAGATGAGGGGAAATCCGAAGGGAATCGCGTTATCTCCTGGTTTGTTTGACAGCGCAGGTGACTCGATTCCCCGACTGGATTGGGATGCCGAGTGCTACCTCACTATCTTACTGTAAGATATCGCGTAATATTCACGCTCGGGAGGGTGGAGTGGGGACTCCCGACCTGTCCAGTCTGGTTTGAAGGGTCACGGTGAGTGGATGTTATTTTCCCAGCTGGACGAGAGACTCCAATGTCTCGCGCAGCTGAGGTGTGAGAAAACCCATGTTAAATACAGGAGTTGCGAGAGTAGGATAAGCAGGCCTCATGGGTCTGGTTGTTTCAAGAAGGGGAAATAAACCCGCTGAGGAGAATTGATTATCAGAGATAGAGTAACTACAACTAGTAGTGATAAGTTAAGTAGTAAAGTAGTCGGTATCTTAAGTCTTGTGTCTTGCAGCTCAGCTGTTATGTACCTGCCTTCTTGGTCCAGATAGGATTAGCACAACACCTTGGGGGGGGGAATGTTTGATGTACCCGGAAGTACCATCTTACGTACCTCCAGGGGAAAGGGTACCGGTATGTACTCCGTACCGGTGGGCCGCGCTACTGGTCCTCCCCGGTACCAACCAGTTACTAGTGAGGTATTTTACTTGTGACCAACGCCAATCACAAGGCCTAAAGCAAATGCAGGTTTAGGTATATACCGCTAGACCCGAACGGAGTTAGGCCGATGTCGCGGGAGACAAAACTAAACTGGAGTGGTTCCAGTTCGGGTGCGCTAACCACTAAGGTCGGCCCTCCCAAAGAGTCCCAACTCCTCCCCTAAGCTTGGGTCAAGGTCCAGGACCAGGACCGTGAGCGGGCTAGCCTTGGGACTAACTGCTAGTCCAATATGCGGAAGTCGGGAATTCCGCAGATAGTATCACGGGGAGTCAAGATTGGACACGGTCGACTAGGTTCCGGCAAGGCCTAACGTAATAAGAATGGCTTGGTCCGGCGCCGACGCTGCCAGCCCTTCAAGCCTCATCAGTCATCCTGGTAGCCTGTAATCATCATGCTCTGGTCTCTCTGTTTCGAGCGGGCGTAGAACATGCATGGAACATGTAATCTGTGAGCTCGTGATCGCTTATGTTCACGAGAAAAACAGGGGACGGAAAAAATAATATACTAAAATCAAGGGAGAAAAAAGAAAACATGGGTTATCTCTGCAGTAGCCGCTCTGCCCAATATACCACCAGTTAAGTAAAGCCCGGGAGATCCTGGTAAAAGTCGACGAGGGGTCGCAAAGGTGGCCCATCCTCTTTCTCTCTATCCTGAACCAGACAGGGGTGTGGTCTTGGCGGTCCGCAACTTCGGAACTATAGGTAGTATTTATCGCATATTAAACGCTCGCTCGTCATGAATAATAAGACTGACACGTTGTACTCCGTCTTTCGCGATAAGTGGAATTCTGCCTACGGAGGAACTCGGCCTATTGATTCGTTCCGCACTCGCTGACCAAATATGGAGACTTGATTACCTAAGGAAACCCTGTGTCTGTCTGTGTGTGTGTGTGTGTGTGTGTGTGTGTGTGTGTGTGTGTGTGTGTGTGTTAGTGACTTTTTTCCTGGTGGTTGTCTGTCTGTCAAAAAAAGACTCAGTTAGCCCGAAAGGCGGGCTTGCGGCCGATTGTCGTCGAGCTCCCCGTTAGAGACAACTTGACTCATTGTTCTTGGAGCTTGGGCCTTATCGTTAACACTAGGGAAGGTAGCTACCTGGTAGTGTAGCCGATATTAGTTGGGGAAAGCATCGGCGGCGTAGACAGACAGTCTGATCTTCCGTGTGGGCCGGTGGGAGGAGTGGGAGGGAGAGCGCGAGAGTCTAGGAGCGAGCCCAGAAGAGGTTCAGATGCGCAAAGTCCGACTACCGGACGGAGCACGGAGTCCTCCGTTCATGCTCGCAAATTCCCTATTGGTATGGCGCCGAAAATCTCATATGGTCAATCGGTCAGGACGCAATCTCGTTAATCGCGCGATATGCCGTCTTGATCTCGTCCATTCCCCTAAATCGCAGCGCAGCTGCACAAAGTTTTCGCTACCAGAGAGTCGTCACGGTCAATCATCAGGCACGGATTGGCGTACCGATTTCCGACCTGCGACTAAAAGTGTCCCCATCATCTTAAAGGTGCCTTAGTCTACCGACTTAATCAAAATCCTAAGGCGCGTGAGAAATTGCTGATCTCCCCATTGGCTCCTTTCGAGAGATTTCCCTGCCATTCTTTTTTGGATTTTGAGTTTCTTGGGGATGGGGCGACGTCGGTCGCTTTCCTGATTTTCGTTTAAATCACTTACAACAAATAACCATATCCATGGCTCCATCTTTTGCTCCACAACAACAAAGGACGGAGGGGTGAGCCGCAGAGCCGTGGTGGGAATCATATCCCCAAAGCAGTCAAGAACGGGAGTGTCTGCTCCATAGTACGGTGTCCGAAGACAGGTCCACGGTAGGTATTAAGGCCAGTACCGAGCATTACCATCCTCCCGATACGCCTTTCCAAGTGTGAAAGTCGTGGTAGGGGTAGGGATACTCACCACGGGGTGCCACTAAGGGCAGGCAGTTCCTCGGCAAAATAAGGTGAGCTGAGCTGAGTGATTTCGCAATACCTGTAGATGATAATTTAGCGGCCAATGTTGCTCATCTAATGGGGGGATAATTTAACCAGCCATCGCATATATCCATCGATGGCGCAAGAGGGTTTTTAGTTACACAACACATCCTCGAGACGAAGATGATTCACAGGTTGGTATTGATTACGGAGTACGGAGTAGCCGTTCCGCATTATATGCGAAGGCGACTGCGACTGCGACTTCGTTCTGTAGGCTCAGGAACGTTGAAGAGGCAAAAGGAAAGAACAGAAACAGAAAGAAAAAGAAACGAAGGCGCATTTTGCCGTCACGCACACTCTCCTCTCCTTCCTAATTCATTCCATTGCTGCAATTTCATTCCTCATTAGAATTCAATTCATTACCTTGAAGACAGAAGTGTAGTCTCGGGTCTCTTGAGCAGATGCCACTGGAGCCATGGCCAAAACATTCCAAGACGCGCTGCCAGCTAGCCAGCTTCAAGACTATGCGCACGTGGAGCATGTTAACACCTGAGATCACACCAAAATAGCTTGGTCACGGACGTGACATTTATCAGCGGAGCTATCCGCCTAAGGCAAACCAGTCAGCCTGCGAAGCCTTTTATTCTACGACTCAGCGACAATGCCATACATATGTGGATAAAAGGTTTGCATATACCATATATTGAAGGAGACAGTACCAGACACAGGAATTCCTCAATTGCACCTCTCAAACGAAATCGAAGATAATAGACGGGAAGAGGGGAGGAGAAAAAAAAGAAAAAGAAAAAGACGCACGCCTACATCATTTTTCCGTCAACAATTGGTGAATTGCCCCTTTCATGTGCATAAGGTAGGCTTCCCCGATGGGGAACAATAATAATTGATGGCCTGGGATTGATCCAGCTTCCTGTGTTGTCAAGGTGGGCCCCAAAAATACTGGTTCGATACACATGCAATACATGCTCCTATTCCGAATCTTTACTTGCCCGTCATCTGGGTACCTCCTCGGAGGGGAAGAAGCAGAGGATATTGGTCAGGGACAGATGCATTGTGCATTCATTCCAAGTTATCCATTGTGGCGCGGAGACCTGATGAAGAGAGCAGGAAATTGTGGTATAATATTGTCGATTATGGGTGGTCACTGCTCCGTTGGGGGAAGGTCCATTCATTGTTTATCAGCTTCTCCAAGCGCAGCTGTGGAGGCATACTCCGTACCAGTGATACTTTTGAAAAGCAAAAAGTCCCGATCGACGCCCATCGCCCAAGTCTTAACCCATCACTAATCGGCCGCCGTCCCAAAATGTACTAGGCGTTGACTGCGGCCTCTACTAAGGCCTTGGCTATTCTGAATCGCTGGTAGTATTACCCCATACATCCGGGGATGGGAGGCTTGATTCCGCTCTCGGATGAGTCTCTGGATGTCGCGTTCCAGATTCTGTAGGCGTGAACGTGAATGACAGCAAGGTGCAGTGGCTTCGCTAAAGGGACAGAAGTGGCAGTTGCATCCATCAGGTTGATCGTTGCTCCAATCGAATGCTCGCTAAGTCATCATATCAAATTCAACAGAACCAATCACGTCTTTTCCCCCAGAGTCCTCCGAGATAACTTGGATGTTGTTACTCTGTAGGTATGGTTGGATGTAATGGTATAATACTTATTATGAAACTGATACCAGATGTTATTATTAATTCCTGCGATCCACCCGCGACGCATATCGCATGATGGTTGCCTTGTGACCTGCTCATTTTCACGGGCACCATTCTCTATGTTTGAAGTGTTGGAGTATCTTCCTCTCATTATATCTAACGCGCTATAGAGTGAGGTACGGAGTAAATACTGCTGTGAAAGGGAGTGGGCTGATTGCTAGTGAATCTCACAAATAAGACCCACGACTAGACCATAGCAATGGTCGGCTGGACTGAGCTCCTGAATGAGACATTGGGTGATGGTAGGTAACCACTTAATTGACTATGGAGAGTACTAAGTAGTAACATCGTTATGAGGTTGGTGAGTTCTAATTGCTCCCTGGTGCCTTCACCGGCAGTGGGTGTGTTAGTAGGTTCCGCCTGCGCGGGGTATGAACCAGGCGGAATACCAATCATCACCCGTCCATCTGCCCACCCAAGACTGGTGGGCTGGAGCAGCATCCTTCCGAGATTGGAGCCTTGCATTTTCTCACGTCCCCTTCTCCCCTCCCTCACGCCTGGCCTTCCTATCAAGAACTAGCTCACCCTTTGTTTTTTTGGATGTCCTGGAAGGATTGGTAGAGTAATATTAACCAACGTTGAGCATTGGCTATGGTTGCGCTGATTCCGGACTGCTAGTGCCGGCATCTCGCTTCTGCATCGGCGGGTTGACCTGGCCCTCTTATCACGTTTTTGATGCATTGCATTGCCTGCGATATTTGACCTTGTGGTTGTCTAGGATCGCCTGTCCGTGGCGATGGATACTTGCTGGAAAACATGATAGTATTCATATTACTTCGGAATACACTTGCGATTGTTCTGGTAATTTTCCCCAGTTCTGAGCCGAGGAGTCGCACCCCCTGGATGCAACCATACATATGATCATAACAATGATCATAATTCTGACCCTGGTCTATATCTTTGATTTCTAATTCTCAATGACCACTATATTGCGCGCAGGAATTACTGCCATTCCTACAAGCATGTCTCGCATTCCGCACATATCATTTGTGAGATATCGTTATGCTCTTGAAGGGTGGTTGGTACCCCTGAAAAGACAGACCAAGGAAATTGGTAGACACCTACCACCGGTTCAGTAGTTATCTAGCAGTTAGCAAAAGTACAACAGTCGACGGAAAGCTCAAGCCGATGATGCTGGATGAACGAGCCTGGCTTGTCTCTCCGCTCTGTGGCCTTACACCATGCCTGTTCCTACGAACATCGGAAGATCGTCTAACGCTTTTGACAGCATATTTGACCATCTTCCTTCTTCACGATCTAGTAGTCTAAGTAGATAATACACTTTGGCATATGAATAACATGCTCACTAGCGTTGCCCATACGTCTGAAGGCTGTTGGCATCGAACCTAATTAGCCTGAAGGTCTGATTCCCTCTGTATGTCGATTGGACTGAGACCCTCGTGTTCCCCACCGACGCGTTCCTGACTTGCGCAAAAGATAAGAATTCGACTGGTTACACCATCATCCGACTTAGATACTAGGCACTTTATACTGCATACATCTGACTGATCCGCTCTACCGTAGTTGCAGGTCTGGAAGGGGCTAAGGGAATGCGCAAAATCGAGAGATTTTGGTTAGATAGGTCGGAGGAAACATCGGAGACAGGACCCCAATACAGGGGAGTACTTTGTACCATTGTTTCTGGGACTGCGAGAGGAAGTCTTCCGATTTGAAGCGACAGAACGGAGTAATATGGAGAAGGAAGCTGTAGTTATCTCAGGTCAAGAGGAGACTCCACTGAAGGGCGTGTCTGTGATTGGCGAGCCCACGGGCATACTTCGGTTTGTTGTTCTTGTTCCCCCCTGAAGGTCGGCCGTACCGCAACAGGTGACCGACTTGCAACTCTGCGGATACGGCTGGTAATGTTCAGTTTTCGTTTCTCTCTCCCTATTCCCACCAGTAGCAGCAGCCAATTCTGCGCCTGTTCCACCCACATCCCCCTCCCACCCTCTCTCTGCTCCCTCCCCTCCTCCTCCTCTTCCTCTTTCCCACCCCCCTCCACAACTCTACTTGACTTTTGCGATCAAGTAACTCTGCCTTTTCATTTTTTATTTTTTATTTTTCTATTATTCCTATTTCTCTGACCGTGCCAGAAGCTACCATCGCCGGCATCAACCGCTGTCCCCCTTACCACCGATGTCTTTCTCTTTTTTTCTTTCTATAATATAAATTGCTGCTACTATTGTTAGTATCGAGGATTTATAATACATTGGCGATATTGACTTTACCCGCTTACTACCCATTAAACTCGCGCCACTCATTCCCCTTTCTTGTCACTTGGACCGGACGGACAGACAGACAGACAGACCGGACGGACAAGACAGCCAGCCCTCTTGTCGAGCCTCCACTACTTTACGGACCCTGCACGCGGCCTTCGCTTCCCCCCGACTTGCGCTACGCCTACTTTTTCACTAGTCTTGAGTCTTTTCGCAGACCGTTCCAAGCCGTTCCTCGGGCACGCCATCCCTAGCCCATCGTCGTTTGGCTCACTAAGGTCGAATTACCTACTCCCGCAGCCGGGACGTTGGCTAACGATCTTGGTTGGTATCCACGGGCGCATACGCTAGGTTCACGACAGTCTCCCTGCGACCAAACTCGAGACGCGCACCGTCCGTCCCGAATCGCGGGTAGACTATCCAAGCTCTAAACCACTATCATAGTTAGTAGTCTAGTATATCAACATCTAAATGTTCTAGGTCTGATTTTCAACATCACATATCTTTTCTACGCAAACTTGCACTCCATAACGGAACAACCACGGTGGGGTTGACAAGTAGGAGGTATTTGGAAGAGAGATAGGAGGAATAGTAGAGTACAGTGGAAAAGGGGGTTTCTTGAATTCCCAAAATTTCATTTTCTTTTTTATTTTTTTATTTTTTTTTTTTGCTTTACTTTCACCCCCTTCTCTTTTATTTGAATTTCATTTTCTTTTTTCTTTTCTTCTTACCATATATTATTTAGTCTTCGATTTACTTTACTTTTTCTTTTTCTTTTTCTTTTTTTTTTTTAATAAATCTTCCCTTCTTTTGGATTCGCCACAACTGTTGGCGGAGTATTCCGCTCCAGGAAGGCAAGCCAGAAAGGTAAAACCGTAAAGAAAGATAAAAAAGAAAAAGCACCTTCAGACAAGGAAAGCTTAGCCGGGTTACGAAAGAATAACCACAATACTCCGGTCGACAACCCGAACAACTGAGGGGAAGGGGCCAGAGAAAGGAACCAGAAGAGGGAGCAAGAGTAATGAGAGAAAAAAAGATAACTAATTGAAAGAGAAAGCATTACAACGACCACTCTTTTCGAGCCCTGATAATTCATCGAAAAGTTGAGTGGGTCAAGCTGTACATACTGGCTAACGGACCCGTCACCACAAAGCGGCAGCACTCCGCTCCAAGGGCGAAAATAAAGAACAAATCAGAATTAATGCTCCGGGAAGCCCCTCCAATAACACCAGCATTACATTACCAATACCGGCCCCCTCCCTTCATGGTGGTTTTCTATTACCTACATGTTACCACTGAGTACCGGCTTCCCCCTACAGTGCACCACCACCACAACTCTTTTTTTTTTTTTTTTTTTTTTTTTTTTTTTTTTTTTTTTTTTTTTTTATCTTTTACTTTTTTTGCCTCCAAGCTCCCTTTTTTTACTTATTTTAATAATAATATTTTTTTTTGATTCTTTCCTACCTACTATTCCCTACTCCATAAGGGAGTTGAAAAATTACGGGGCCCACGCGCGCTCCACCGTATCCTCGGATCCCACGAGGTGCTTCTCTCTAACTTGCGTTTTCCTCCTGCCGAAAAGCCTCTTTGCTCTCTCTGTCCGAAGCCTTTTAGGCCGCGTCCTCTGCCCAGGTCTCTCTTTTTCCGGGTAGTAATCGAACCATTTTTTCCTCCGTCTTGAATTTAGGTGACTGTGCTACTTGCGTTGCCACCTAGATCGAGGCATCGTTTTCTTAGCGCTATCGCGGATTTGACCTGGTGGAATCTTATTTGATTATTACTCGTTTTTGTTCGTCCCGGCCAAAGAGACTATTTTGGCCCTGCCCTGGCTGCTTTCTAAACCCTCACCACTCCCCCCCCCTCCCTTTCCCCTCCAACCCAAAGCTTGCCCGAGCGCAGACAGGACCGTCCCTTTCCATCCTCCCGCGGGTTCCTCGTGCTGTCGTGCGTGCTTACCGCCACCTGCAAGGCCATTCTCCGTCACCCTAACAGGCGACTAAGGCAATTAAGCATCACGATCCAGCGCTACTTTTTCCCCCGAAGACCAAATACCTCGTCTCGGTTTCCCTGGTCCTTATTTGCGATACATTATTTTTTTACCCTTCACCATTTTCTTTTCTCATTATACCTACTATTCTTCTTCTTTTCTTCTTGCGACTCTTTCCGCTCGCGCTCTCTTTCACACTTTGTCAGTGTATTGAAAAAAAAGAGAGTCCAAAAATCCATACGCGCCAGATCACGCGTTGGTTCTTTCTTTTCTGTTCCACTTCACTTTCCGTCTCCTTCAACACAACGCGCCCATTTCAGGACGTGCAGGACCTGCTGTGGAATTTTCCATTGATCACATCGGTCTTCTATCCTGAATTCACTAAATAGTACGTTCCAACAAGAAAAAAAAAGAAACAAGAAAAAGAGAAGAGGGAGGGAAGAAAAAAAAAGAAAAGAAGAACGAGGATCTTACCACTCCATCCTGATCTTCCTGCTGTTAGAAAGCAATCTTCTTTCTCCCCTCCCATTCCATCCACTACGACGTCTCTTTTTCATTTTCCTTTCTTGTGAAATCACCAAGCTCATTGTGTTCTCTCGACGCGTCTGTATAGGCTCGCGTGTTTAGTTTTCTTTCTTTTTTGGAGGATTGTCAGGGATCTCTCAACCCGTTCGCGGCGAAAATTGTATTATATGGACAACAGACCTGCCTCGGAGTACGCGCAGTCAGGTTCGCATTATCCATATCCACCGTCTGCTGCGACCCATTCTGAACTCCCAGTTGCAGACCAGGCTTCTGCTGCTGCCACTGCTCAATACACCCCTCAGACTGAGGTCCGCCCTACTCCTCAGTACACCCCCCAACCCGAGGTCCGCCCCGCCGCCAATATTTCGTCTTCCAACACGCCGCAGTCAGACTACGGTCTGAATCAGCCGCCCGCCGCGCGCTCTCCTGCTTACCACGAGTACATCGGCCGCCCGCCTCAATACCACCACGCGCCTAACACCCAAGCCGGTGGAGCGGCAGGTATGGCTCAAGCAACAAGTCCGTCCATACACACCCTCAGTGATGGGCAGCACCATGACCATCGCAATCACACGAACCTGAAGTCTGACGCGGCCGTTCCTATAGATCCCTCAATCGCGGCATCCAGCCCCACCTATCCTCCTCCCTACTCTCCCTACCAGCCCCAAGGTCACGATATGGCACAATACCAGGGGCACCCCCCTCCGCCCCCGCCTCAGATGTATACGCGTCCGGAATGGTCGCATGGGTATGGACAACATCAACACGGTCTGCCTGGACCCTATACCACTCCTGCCACAACGGTTGGTCCCGCCTCCCCTGCTGCGACCGCAGGGCCGCGCCCTGGCCAGGTATGTTTTTGATGATTTTGGCGTCTGTTTCCAAGGGCTGCGCACTTGCGTTGGTTTGTTGTCTTGGACGTCCCGCGAGGTAAGGTCAGGGGCTTGCTAGCTACGTAGGCTGCCTCGCGGGACGTAGGAAGCGGCGCGCTTTTTCATCTGTTTTTGTCACAAGAAGATCCCAGGCTCATCCACATGCTTTCTCTAGGTATACTCCTTTGTTCCCATTCCTGGCGCGCAGCAGCACAAGCGGCCCCGTCGTCGGTATGAGGAGATTGAGCGGATGTACAAGTGTGGGTGGAACGGATGTGAGAAGGCGTATGGTACGCTGAACCATCTGAACGCCCACGTCACGATGCAGTCTCATGGCGCCAAGCGCACACCCGAAGGTGAGTTTGTTTGTTGGTCGTCTTTGCGCCTTTTTTTGCAAGTTGGATCCGCCAGCTCTCGCATCTGTTGTTTTTGTTGGTCGCGAAACTCTGGATGGGGCTAGTGCGGGTGGCACGCGCTAGTCGTGTTACACTACCTTAGCGCCGCGGATCGCAGTAGCGTGACAAGCCGGTGCGGAGGTTAAGCGTCTTCGACGACTCAGTAGCTCCTATCTATCTCTTGACTTGTTCCGACCATCCCCTCGTGCTGCTTCTGTCCCATCCCCACCATGCATCCTACCCACCAACCCTGTCCCCTTTCAACACACTTCTTTTCATCATCTGTTTGTTGCATCTCATGCTAATCTCTCCGTCATACAGAATTCAAGGAGATTCGCAAAGAGTGGAAAGCTCGAAAGAAGGAGGAAGAGGCCCAGCGCAAGGCTGCTGAGGAGCGCGAGCGTGCTGCCGCTGCTCAAGCTGCCCAGGCCAACCAGGTCGACGCACCCAATCCTGCGGATCCCGCTCAGGCTGGGCAACCACCTGCCTACCCGGGTGGTGTTCGTCCTCAATTACCTCCCATTGGATATCAACCTGCCGACGGTCAGGTACCGGGGCAGTACGGAGCTGGAGCCGGAGGTATGGTGTATCAGGGCAATGGGCAGATGGCATACCCGCCAAACTACCCTCACTCCCCTTATGGACAGACCGGTCAAGTGTACCAGCCACGTAAGTAGTCAGTCCTTTGTTATGTTTGCCTTCTCGGCACCGGGTCATGAGCAAGTCTCGCATGCGACATGAAAGAAACCACCCCCAAAAAAGAAAGAAAAGAAGAAACAAAAAGGGACACACGACCACCATACCCGGCTGCAAAAGCTCAAGAAAAGTTGAGAAGGAGGTCTTCGGATCTATTGCTATAAGGTCTGTAGCTGATCGATGACGGCTTCGCAGAAAACCAATCGACCAGCTACCCGCAATAGATGCCCAGCTTCCCTTACTTCTTTCAGGTTGCATGTTCTAATACAATATCTCCTAATCCCGTATCGCCATCCCCGGATCTAATTCTCTAAGTTCCTGCGCACATGATACCAATTTTCTGGCCTTGATTGCTCCAGTCAAAAGAGTGGCCTTGCGACTTACACTTTGTCCCAGTTATGTTTTTTTTGAATTAGATCGCATGGGGAAAAAAGGATAATCGAGGGGGGTTGTTGTCTTTTGCTTTTTCTTCCCTACGCCATTACCGGCCAAGGGATTACGACTTGGGACATTTGGCGGGACCGTCTGCATTAACTAGCTTTTCTACATTTTCCTGTGAATTATGCGGCAACTGTTTTATCTACTAAACGCTCTCCTGTGTTGTATGTGGCTTACTGCTATGATTCTTGTGATCTTCCTCTTCTGTGATTCTTCTTGACTGTGTCCGCGTCCTTTTCTCTCTTGCTGATGTGTTCCGACCAAATTATGTTACCCTGGGTTTTTGGTCCCCGAAATTGTGCAATATTCTTGTCCATGTTCTTTTGCTCTGCAGGCCGTTCAGGGTCTGTGGTCGGGTGGCGGAAGTCTTCGGATTCTGATGCACATGGTTCTTTTCCTTTCTCCCGCCCTCTATCTTCGAGTGGACCACCAATGTGGCTGCGAGACCGATTGGAAGGCGAACGCCGCCTGTCTCGTGGCTGCAGGTGGGAAGATAGTGGGTAAATTACTTGAGTGAAATGACAATGGTTCGACTGTTCTGTGGATACTTGTATGCAACTACGCCTGCAATCCGACTGAATCGGGGGTAGCGAAAGGGCACCGACATGGACGGAGAAGAAGGGCGCATAGCTCCATGCCCCTGCATGATCGATGAAACTATTCTTGTAGTTCCCGGAAAACGTGGGCATTGCTTCGACGGCCGGACAATCTGCGAATGCAGATCGTGCATTAGCGGTTCTGACTCGGCAGAGGGCCTCCGGGCCTCTTTCTGTATATTGACTCGCATGTGGTAGATCTTTTGGGATGAATAGCAATCCGTTAACTCTAATAGACGAGCGTGCATCACGCACGGTGGCAATAAGCCGACTAGTGGAGTGACTATTGCCGCGGAAAGTGACTAACAAAGTCTGCGTGAAGGGCTTTTAGAAATCATGCAATATCGGTGAGATTCAATCAGTAGTAGGTCCGTCCATGAATACTTCCTCTAAACTATCAACCTGTGGTGGTAATGGATCAGCAGGCATGGAACCTTCGACACATACTTCGGTAGTGATTAAAGTTATCAAACATACATACCACGGGGAGGAGGGTGAATAGGAAGTAAAGTTGGAGCTATCTATTCTGGACCTTAGGCGAGATCCGAGTACTACTTTGTACTCTTTCCACTTACCTGACAGGGCGAAGGCAAAGAGAGAGAGAGAGAGGATAACTTTGGTTCTGGTTGAACTAGTCGCGGGCTTCCCCGGCAAACTTACTAGTGAGTACACCGTACCAGCGTAGTACCTGGTACCTGTAACCCTCCTGGACACTAAGACTAGGCTGTACCTGAACCCCAGACCAGCTTTAGGTTAGGTTACTAGTCTTGTTGGTTCCTGGCCGCCTTAGCGGCCGTTTTTGGGGGTGTGGGTGTGAGCCGGGGGGGCAAGGCAGGGACTGCTGCATGCCCGCCGCAAAATAGCCTCCTCCTCCTCCTCCTCCTCCGCTATCCTCCCCCTCCTTCATGGATGCCTAAGCTCAGGCCGCAAGGGATCTAAATTTCTAGCGGTGTAAGGCTGACCGTTCTGTCGGTAATATAGGCTGACTAGCTAGCTTCTGAGCTACGTTGCTAGCTGAGCTAGTACGTCGGAAAAGGCGTTGGTCTAGTCATGGATGCGTGCATACTTTAGTCCTGCATGTGCCTGAGGCTTGCGGCGGTTATGCGCAAAACGATGGCCGTATTCGCGGTGTTGATGCCTGAGGCATACTGCGTCTGTCGGAGCGGAGTTATTTGCTGCATTTGGGGGATAGACTGCACTAACCTTATCGGTCCTAGCGGGCAGATATGCGATACGGCGGAGTTTGCGATTGTTCGGAGGTCGACGCTCGCTTTGGGCTGGATTTGGTGCTTTGCTTCTCTATCGCATCCTTCTTTATTTCTGCTTGGCTGCAGTAGAGGTGGTGGTTTGGCTCTATTATCTTCTATATTTTTCTACATTCATCTGCATTTTATATTTTCTTGGTTGGCTGTTTCGTCTGCGCCGTTGCCTCTCTCCCTCCAGAATTCTCTTCGCCGACTTCCGAGTTTCCTACGGTCTACGCGCCTTACGCTCCCACGATACCTAGTGGCAATCGGGTTGGGATATACCTCTTGCCTTTCCTATCTCTTCTATAAAGGAAGTTGGATCTTACACTACGAATCGAACAGCGTGTCCTTCGTTCCCCGCCTTAGATGCTTCGTTGCGGCAATGCCACCGCTCTCCGGTCCGGAAGCGTGGCAATGAGACCACTTCTCCGCACACAGTGGCTCCGGACTACCCCGAGTCGATCTTTCTTTCACATTGCGGAATCTGGACCTCGTATAGGAACATCATGGAGACACTCGGCGCGGATTGGGACTCTGCACGCAAGGCAAATGCACGAGGCTGTGGCCGCGGAGGGCCCACCCGATATTACCTTCAAGGAGGAGAGTGCGCCTCGTGAGAAGGAGGAGGAAGAAAGGGAGAGTGAGCCTGCAGACTCTGATGGAAAACAAAAGTCTCCTCAGTCTGGTTCCGCCACAGAAGAAGTGCTTGATAAACGGACGCTACTGCGTCGGCTTGTTCGGAGGGAATGGGTGCCGCAGACGTACTTCGTTCCTCTCTCTGTGGTGAATGCGGAGTTGAAATGGCTGCGTGACCCATTGGCGCTGGCCGAGCGCGTCCGGCGTTGTCTGGCAGATGGGCACCTGGCGCTTGGTGTGTCGCTTGTTTATAAGGCCCAGAGCAAAGGGTTCAGGTGCACTGCGGCTTTTAATCGGCTGTTGGAGTATCTATTGCGGGAGAAGGAGCCGGAGCTTGCGTTCAGAGCTTGGAATGATGTATGTTCCTTTTCACCCTTCTATTCTTCGTTATTGTTGTTTCTGGATTATCGATCCCTGGCTGACCAAATGCTCATTTGAAATGTAACAGATGAAAAAGCGAGGTATCGAACTTAACTCGAGATCTTACACTGTTTTCCTGAACGGTCTCTGCCAGGACTTCGACATTAAGGGCTTCAAGCCGGTGAAATTGGCCTCGAAAATCTACATGTCGCTCTACGCTGAGACTTCCGTCGTCGAACCCCATATCATCCACGCCAATGCAATGCTTAAGGTCTGCTGGTGGCACCGAGATATGGAAGTTCTATGGGAGGTTGCTGGTGCACTGCCGGAGTCCGGCAAGCTAGCCCCGGACCTATTGACCTACACCACGCTGTTAGGGGCTATCGCAGGTAGTACGAGGGCCGAAACGTCGGAGTTGTATAAGGGAAATATCAAGACGGCGGAAAGAAAACAAGTTGAAGTTGAGCCGCTTCTGCAAAGGAGAGCTCAGGGAATACAGGAAGCCAAACGGGTCTGGGCCGACATTGTTTATCAATGGAAGAAGGGCCGGGTGCCCATGGACAAT